GTATAGATTATATAGTATAGATGATATTTAAAATATGGAAAGTATAGATAGTATCGGCAATATAATAGTATAGATAATTTGTATAATATAGATAGTGTAGATAGTATAGATAATATAGATCGTATAGATGGTGTAGATAGTATAGATAGTATGGATTGTTTGATAGTATACATATATAGTTTGGATAGTACAGATAGTATAGATAGTATAGACAGTGCAGATAGTATAGACAATATAGATAGTAAAGATAGTATAGATAGAATGGATAGTATGATAGTATAGATAGTAAAGCCCAAGACGTAGCTACCCTTGCACCTAACTTACTATACTTACTGCAGATGAGTGGGAACTTAAGTCTTCAATGAATATGTTTGCTCTACTCATAATCGGTATTCTCGAAGTCTTCTTCTTCTGTCTTCCTTTCTTGAGAAATACTCTTTAATTTAAGAGCACATTTCAATAACCCATTTAAATTCTATTCTCTTCGGCAATCATTCAATTCATTGAAATGATGATATGAGAGACCAATATTCCGCGAGCCTTTTGCGTGGCATGTGCACCGTACACGGAACCCCATTCAGCTGGAGAATGTTAATCAACGTGCCAGCTGCCCTTTGAAAGGCTCCATTGAGAGTTGGCCGCAAACGTATCGATAAATCCACAAACTGACTCAACGAGAACTTCAATTAGCGCAGTTAACCAGCAAAAGCAGCCACAATTAGCACCACATAAAGAAAGACGAGTTGGATGCTGTTTTCGGTGCGCACACAGAGAGAAAGAGAGAGAGACAGAGTGAGAAAGAGTGAGAATGTCTCACTTAAGGCCAGCGAGTCGAAGAGAGATTCCCAGTGGATAAGCAACGACTGTTGGGATTAGCAGCAGCAGATGTAGAAGCCATAGCAGCCGTAGCAATCAAAATGGAGCGACCAAACCGGAGGTTAAAATATTTTGCAGTTTGCTCAACCTCATAATCAGCAATAATGTGGGCGCACACTCAGCAGGAGCTGCAAGCCAGTCACATTTACAGAGTTTCAGTTCAACAGTTCACAGTTACGCTGCCCTGGCCGCAGAGCCAAAATTACAGCAACAGCAGCAACAGCAACAAGAACAGCAACAACAAACATGAAGCAAAGCCTCAGTGGCAGTAACGCCCAGCAAACAGCTTCATGGCCGTTTAGGTTAATTTCCCTTTGATGATGATGATGGCATGTTTTGCGCGACCATTCAGGCATGCAATGGACTTGCTCACTCCGGCCAACAGTAGTTGGGGGGCGGGGCACTCTCACCCATATCCGCCCACACGAAGTAAATGAATGCGCTTCGCGTTGTGTGTGCGCTTCAATAGTTTTCGGTACCTCCTCCTCTCTCTCTCACTCTCCCTGTCTCTCTCTTTCTGGCCAACCCACCGACCGCATCGTCAGTCAGTCAGCTAGCCAGGCAGGCAGTCAGCCTGGTCTTCAGCTCAGCAAACTTTCGGGTATGTAAAGTAAACTCAAAACTCAAACCGATTGCGCTCTGTCTCTCTCTCTCTCTCCCCCTCTCGCTGTCTCGCTTGCTTGCCTGCGCTCTGTCTCACTCTGACGCTGCCAAGCTCAATATTTATGCCTGTAAGCCGGCAGAAAAAAATCAAATAAAAATTTCCAGCAGCGTTATAATAATCATGCTTGCATTTCCTTCACAACAATGTTCCTATATACATATATATCTATATATATGTACATATATATGTATACATAAGTGTGTACGTAGTTATACTTAGCTGCCTAGGTAATTTGGCCGCCTAGACGATCCGTAAAAAGGCAAATTCAGCGGGAAATTGAATTAGAGTTGGAATTTAAATAGAAAAGAAAACTCTGGGCGGATTTTCCTTTTCCTTTTACATTTTTCTTTTCTTTTCTGTGTGCCTTGTTTTTGCATAAGTACAATTTTTATGTTTTAATGATTTCAAACGTTGCTCGAGCTTAAAGTGGCTGCAGTAAAACAAACATAGAGCTGAACAGAAAAAGTGCCTTGACTAATGAATACTCTTCAGTTGGGTCTGAAGGACACTGAGAATAGCAGAGCAAAACAAATACAAATACAAATCATATGAACTGAGACAATGAATGAAATAGCGGAATATAGATATATAAATATGTATGTATAAATGAAGATATATGAAAATAGATATATCCATATGGAAGAACTAAAGTATATAATTAATATAACCAGTTCACTCAATAGATAGAGAGATATTCAGAAAAAATTCTGTTTTAAATGCACTGAATGAGATAGTCAATTAATTTATTTAGGACATATAATTCATAGTAATTTCTATATATAAAATATTTATAAAAATGTAAATTAATTATTAACCTTTTAGAATTCACTAAGAAGTAAAAAAATTAATTATATAATTTCATTGAATAATAAAAACTAAATTATATATAATTTGTAAGCTCACAGAAATTACAGAAAAGTTATATTATTTACAAAATCATTGTAAAAATATAAAAAAAAATATTAAGATTATAGAATTCATGAAAAAAAATAAATAAATAAAATAAAATGTTTTATAAACTTTAAAGGCAATATGTAATATATTTTTAATACATTTGATTATTGTTTAGCAATAAAAAATAATAAATAGAATAAAATAAAATAATACAAAAATAAAAAAATAAAAAAATGAATAATATAATATCTTCAATTAAATATAAATCAATAAATAAATAAGAAAAATATAATACATTTATTTTTTCCAATAAAAATCTAAAGCAATGATTTTTCATAAAATTTAAAACTTGCAAAATTCATAGAAAAGGTCAAAGATCTTTGATGCAACATCTTTTTGTAAATATAAATAAATTCAAATGTCTATAAAAAAAAGTTCCCCTCCGTTATGATTTATATATTATATTCCTAATGTATTGCAAAAGATTTCTCACATAATTATAAAATCATAAATCTGAAACTAACCCAATTTCATTTGAATGACAGCCTTATGTTCTTTAACCCTATTTGGCTATTGCAAGCCACACGCTTTAGCCATAAATCTATATACATATATATATATATGTATGTGTATGTGTTTGTATGTGTAGCTATATCTGTTGTGTGTTACCTGAGCTAACCCAGACCCAAATATTTTGCCAGCCCTAAAGCACTTTATGATTACAGCGCATCATCAAACTCAATTTAGAGCGTCGCCTGCTCCCCCCACCTGCCCCGCCTGCTCCACCTGCGCACACACAAACCACTTTACTGATATCGACGAAAAATCTCCACTGCGGAAATATTGAAATCTAAAAAGCAAATAATTTAATTCGCTTAAACTTTCGTGCTGGCGCAGAGTGTTAAAGGGGGGGGTAGACAGCATGAGAGGGGCGACACGACATAGACAAACGCCGCTGTCGCCTCGCATCCGGGCAGGAAAATGGGGAAAAGTGGAACTGGTGGCAGGACGTGCGCTGTTGTTGCCCACACAGCCGCCATCAAATTTGAATTCAGAAACATTGTAGAGGAGAGAGTGAGAGGGAAGAGACGAAAGCTGCTGCTGCTGCTACTCCTGCTGCTCCTGCTCTGGTCTGGGCCCGTCACGCATTACCAACCACTCAAAAAGCCAAGCCGAGACCGAGACCGAGCCCGACACTCGACTCTCGGCGTTTTTAGCGTTAGCTGTCAGTGTTGGCAAACGCATAGACAGGAAAGGGGGGGCATGGGAGTGGCAGCAGGGGTAGGTGTGGCAGTGGGTGAGGCAGCGACTGGGAATGGTCTAGGTTTTGGCTCCTGGACTGGGACAGCAAAGCGACATCCGCACGTACCCCTCTCTGCAAGCCGCATCCTTATCCGCATCCGCGTCCGCATCCAGATCCGCCTACACCTTGTCCCATGTCTCCGCTGTCTCATTTGCTTTCAATTTTTATTTGCCGTGTTACAACAGCAACAAAGTTGAAGTTGCCGTAAGGTATTTGACGCGTCGCCGTCGCAGCTTTTACGGCGCTCAGGTGAGGTGGGACTGCCACAGAAAGGGAGAGAGACAGAAGGAGAGAGAGAGAGAGTAGGGGAGGCGGCACAGTCTGTGGCTGCGGCATTGTTAGCACTTTTGGACAGGCAGCCGTGCCCCAGCTTCACTTGAGCAGATAATTTTCACTGTTGTGCTTGATAATGATGATGTGCAAATTTCATAGGTTGTTTTCTTCTCCCCATGTTGTTGTTGTCTTTGCCAGCAACGTGGCAATTTACATTTCTTTTTTTTGGAGCATAGTTTGTGCCTGGCTTTGCTGGCTTACGCCCTCTCAAAGTGGGCAATTAAAAATCGTCAAATTTTATGAAGGTCCTGGAGCCTTCAAGATGTTTGCTCGTTTATGTGGCCATGAATACGAATTAGCCAATGGCCCAGATTTACTGCTCGCGATTTTTTATGACCATCCAGAGTGACAGAATGCCAATAGCAGGGGCAGAGTGTGAATTCCAGGACACAGTGAGAAGCCGTCAAATGAAGTTTCATTTGCTGGCCATTGAAATTGGTTAAACTGTATTTAAATTTATGTGATGCAAGGGCAATATGGGCCATAATAGGTATTGGATTAAGGAGTATTGATGGAACTAATAAAAATAGAGTCGGTCTATTGGGGTTTCTTAAATAATAAAAAAAATATATATATTTATTTTTAAATACTTAATATTTAAATTTATTTTTAATATTCATAATATTTTGATTAAATGTATTTGAATTCAAATTGTACATTTTGCAATATTAAATATTCAAATTTATGTTTTTTTAAGAATTATGCTAGAACCATATTTTCATAATTTTATTTAATTTTATAAATATTTCAGATTACAAAGTTTTCCATTATTAATCATTTATATTTTAATATTATATTTTAATTTTATATTTTGCATAATTAATCATTTATATTTTAATATTTTTTTATTTGAGTTGATTATAGTAATTAAATTTAAAAATTAGAATTTTTTATTTATTAAATATATAAAAAATTGCTCATATAATTCGAATCGTGCAGCAATTTCTGCAGAATATACATAATGCCTTATATATATATATTTGTTTATTTATTTATTATATTGATCATATTGATTATTAAATTTGAAGATAATAAGTTTGAATAGTCATGAGTCATAACAGAGAAATTCATAGCCTTGCACTTTTTTTTAATGCTTCTTTAATTTCTCTTCAGTTGTCAAAGTTGCATACAGAAAAATATAGTATATGAGCTCTGAGCTCGTTTCACTCCTATCGTTCCGCTGTGCTCGTTCTTCCGTACTCATTCTCCTATACTCGCTCCCTGTGCTCGTTCCCTGTGATCGTTCCCTGTGCTCGTTCCCTGTGCTCGCTCCGTTTTGCTCGGTCCCCTGTGCTCATTCCCTTTCGCTCGTTCCCCTCTGTTTCCTTTATAAGTGCTTAAAGCAATTGAGCCCGAGAAGAATTAAGTCAGTGTTAAATAGGAGCTCAAGACGATCGGACGTTAATTGTTTATCTGTGCCAAATCAGAGGGAGTCTTTCCAAGTAAGTCTAATTTAGTAAAGTATTGTCTCATCTGTATGTTATATGCAAATTAGGGACCCAATAGCAAAAACAGTGCAGTCATTGAGGCTTTAGCTTTACATTTGATAACTTGAATGATAACTCACTAACTAAATACTTCTTATAACTGGCAGATTATATTATAACTAGTTATTATTGTTGCTTCATATAATATACATACATAAACACATTTATATACCAAATTTCCGACACATCACACAATAGCGACAGCACACTTGATGTCTCCCTAAATCGGAGCCACTTGACCTTTGGGGCATGTATAAATTGTATATCTAAGGGAAATTTGTAAGGCATTTTGCTGTAATCGCGCATTATTCAATGAGCAACCCTCGTTAGCTGCTTGTACACTAATAGTGGAATATCGTACTCTGTCATCTTGACTTTACGATTTGCCTATTCAAATTTCCTACGCGTTGACAGCAGCTGACATTCGCTGTCACTTCAAAAATGGTTCAGTCTGTGCCTTCAGTCTCAGTCGCCGTCGCCGTCGCAGTCGCCGTCTCAGTCTTCGGCTCAGTCTCCCTCTGGCTTTCCATCGGCTTCTCAGTCTCAATGTCCATTTACCTACGTCTCAGAATTTGTTCGCACTGGAATCTGTTTACATGGCATCACGTCTTTGGTTGGGCGGACGACGCCATGGCCGGAGTCAGAATGTCCAAATGTTGTGGCCCCGGGCGTTGGGCACCGCTGGCTGCATTTCAAATCAGTTTAGTTTGCACGTCCTTTGGCGCATAACAAAAAAGAAATTGAATTTGGGTTGGTATGCCAGGACCGACAAGGACGACACTTTGAAGTCCTTTTTTTTTTCTTCTACTCGAGAAATAAGTAAATACAAAAGAATGAAAAAAGAAAAAACGAAAACAAAATAAACAAACAAATCAAGAGAACACTCAAAAGTCGTTTAGGAACAGCGATTCGATTCGTATCAATTGATGTTGCTTAAGATTTCTTATTTTCAACATTTAATTGACAGACCAACTAACTTGGTTAGTTGCCCATTGATTCACTGATTGTTTGTCTCGCTTTTTCATTCTTTCTCACTCTCTCTAACTGTCTGTTAAACTGAGAGCAGTCAGTCTTTAGCTTATGGCATGGAACATTTTCAGAAGGTAAATGCAGCCCACTTTTCATAAGCTTTAATTCAATGACAGTGTAGCATTTCTACAATTTGTTTAAACAATAAATTTTAGGTTCCACATCAAATTCAATACAATTCAATCAAATTTCCGCCTTGCTATATTCTGATTCAGATCCTTCTAGATCAAACAGCCATCAAATTGAGATTTCTATGCCCAATTGTGCTTTAATGAGGCTCTAATGACTTCGGCCCAATAGGGTGGCAGTCTCTGTAATTGTGATGCGAGGAATACGAGCTCATTATCCATGCCAACTGGCCATAATCTAGTTGAAATAAACGCTTCAGCATATTCGAGTCGACGGAAGCTTGTAATTGATCAGATAATGCAAATTGAAGGGAAAGGGAAAGCCAACGGGTAAATCATTGAATGCTGCAGGCATTATAAATTAAATATTCAATTATAGAAAATCAACTAAAAATCCTGCACGTCGTAGCGCATTAAACTGAAGCTGTCAAATGTTTTTAACAAAAATAAATATAAATTTTGTTTCATTTATTTATCAGCAAATTTTCCAAATTGATTTACATTATTTATTTGCGTAAATTTAAATCAATTAAAATGAAAATAACATGAAAACAAAATTATTATAATGTGTTTTATAAATAAAATACGTTGACTCCAGTCAAAATATCAACAGTAATAAATAACATATATTTAATTTATTTTATATTGTACTCTAATGGAATTTATATATTTAGCTGATGTGAAGACTAAATTGATTGAATTTTTCTTTATAAAAATCGGTAGCCTTGTAGCGAAAGACAGAAAGACTAAGATAACTAAAACCGATTAGCTAAATGGGACTTATTGTAAATTATTTTTTGCTCACATATTATCCCTTTTATGAAACATTTTCCTCACATGTTCATAACTTATGCAGCAAAATATACTTCTACAATATATATTATTTATGTTTCTGTTGAATTGTTTCCAAAACATTTCTCTAATTAGTTACTAAAAACTTGCTCATTATCTATTTAAGCTGTTTGTCAGTTGCTCACAGGTTAGGAAAACATCCTCGACTAAATTGAAATAAAGTTTAAATTTAACATGACTCTCGCCCGCTTTTTCGCTCTTTGCCGCCGCTCTCCTTCTCTGTCTCTGGCTTCGTCTCTTTCACGCCTCTTTTCTGCTGGGAGCGCTGTTAATATGCAAATTGCTTCGTTTCTAATTAAAATAACTGTGCAGAGCTTTTGGTTTTTAGTCCGTTTTGAAAACACATTTTTGGCCAACTTGTTGTAGCTGCCGCCGGTGGCCCCAAACAGCGAAACCTAAACGCGGCATTACTCATTTCCCAGCATCCGCCACCCGCCCACACAGCCACACCCACACACACACACACACTCGCACACTCTCAGGGGTGGGCTTGGGACACACTGGGCTTTAGCTTTGGGATCTATTAGCGGACAACATTGCATGCAGCCACCGCTGACAGCCTTGCCGCAAAGGTGTGTGTGTGTGTGTTGGCTATGGTTTGTTTGTTTATTTTTTTTTTTTACAAAATATTTTCCATTAGAGTTGCTTACAGCGACGATATGCGGCAATTGGAAAAGGGCTATGCCTAAATATGGAAGAAAATATACTGATATATATAATATACCCAGCTGAGCTTTAATGAGACTCTAATGAGTGCGGTTCAATAAGGTGGTGTAAGGATTAAGAGCTCATTATCCAAAAGAACGGGCCATAATATAGGTAAAGGCTAAATTTATCATTTATGAGAGACTTTAAGTAAAATTTAAAGAGCAATCCAAGCGAACAAGTATTGAAAGCAGCTCAATCTCTGCCTACCTCACTATCTCTCTTTGTCTCTCACTCTCTCTCTCTGTCTCTATTATTAATCGTCATTCAACAGAAATATAAACAGAAAATGTTTCCCTTGTCTACCTCTGTCACACAGTTGCAAAAATTTAAACCTTTCCCAGAACTGAAACTAAAAGTAAAAATTAAAATTAAAAAAATGAAATATTCTTGCAGTTGAGTTTCTATTTAATTTCTGAAAAAATATAAAATATACATATTTACTTTGCTTGATCGACATTCGAGGAATTTGAGGTCTTTTCATAAAAATCAATTGTTTGTGCTTTAAATACCATTTTAGCTATGAAGCTTAATTGAAATTGCAATCTATACATTGCAGTTGCTGGCTAAAAGAGTAGAACTATTCCCACATTCCCCCCCCCTGTCTGCCGCAAACTTTTCAATTAATCTAAGTAATTAAAGTATAAGACCAAATACGACCACATGCCTGGCATCGTCTGACAAAAGCTGCGAAAGCCCCAAAACATCTGCAACAAATCAATTTGCAAGAACTTTTCCATTGTGTTTGCAACTATTTTTATTGGTCGCTTTAGTTTGGCAATGGTATTTGGCCAGAAGTCTGGTCATGTTGGCTTTTCACAAGCACACACACACACAGACACACGCATGCATAGCATACAAGGACAGCAGTATATTGATTTACTTTACCGATAAATTGACAATAGCTGGGCACAAAATGGTGCCAGAAACGAGGGCAGGGCGGGGCAAGTTGGGGCAAGGGGCAAGGGGCCAGCTGAAGTGCTCGCCTAACCATGTGGCGAGCCAAGTGTGTACGGTGTCTTGTGTCGGATATCAAAGGACTTTAAATCAAAATTCAATTACACTTTTCACTGATGCTCTTAAGACTTGAGCGGGCACGTCCGCCCGCTGCGTGAGCGCACCAGCATGAGCCTTTTCACCTGTTTGTGATAGTGAAAATCAACAGCAGGCAGGCAGGCAGGCAGGTTGGCAGACAGAGCCGAATATAATTGCAAAAAGACGACTCAGAGATACACTCTACTCACTCAATAACAATGAAACAATGAAAAACAACTAGACTCTCATCAAATATTCATTATAAGCTGCATTTTAATTAAAGTCATATGAAAATATAATATATATGTATTAATTTGCATTAATTGAATGTTGCGCATAAAAAAGCAAAATATATTCATTTTTTGTTTACAAAAATTTCAATCAATATTGAATGCCAAAGGAAAAAAATGCCAAAGGAAAAACAATAATAATAATCCTTTAATCTTGCTGACAACAACTACTTAAACAACAACAACTATATGCACTCTCTAACATTGTCATTTCCATAGCGAACTTAGTTTTTGAGTACGTGTAACAAAAAGCGTGTCGAGTGTTCGACCAGCCGCTCTCTGACATTGAGTTCAGAGTTTACAGTTGTTCAGAGTGTTCAGCTTTTGGAGTGCTTTTGTTTGCTGTGGTCGTCAACTGGATGCTGTTGTCCGGTAGCTGGGGCACGGCTCTCTGGCACCTGGTTACGCCCCGTTCGCCTCCCTCTGCCCCGCTTGATAAACTGTAGCATTCGCAGCTCGTCAATTTGTTTGATATGCAAACAAGCAAATCACCATCATGTCACATTTGCATTTTAAAGAGAGTTCATTTTGACCATGCACACACATACATATAACTATATATATATATATATATATATATATCGATAATACATACATACATGTGTAGATACAACGAAAATTAGCTTCCTATGCAGCTCGGTTAAGGTTTTCCAATCAAATTCTGTGCTGCTTACGGCACAAATTGCATTCACATCGCACACACATACACGAGAGAGAGAGAGGGACTGAGAGAGAGAGAGAGAGAGAGAGAGAGAGAGAGAGAGAGAGATAGAGAGAGGAGAACTTGTCTATGGGAAGGGGTAGTGCAATTGCGAGCACTTATAACAACTTATAAATAGCCTCAGTCTGTGCAAATTTTCACATTAATTAAATTTTAGCGACAACCACGAACACACACACAGCCCAGTCCAACCCAGCCCAGCACAGCCGAGAGCAGATCCCAAAAAATAGAGACCTGCTACGGCGTCAACGGCCAACACGGTTGACATATTGAAGGAAAACGACAGATTTAGTACATAATATATAGACAACAACATATAGACAACGCACAGCCTAATAGACACTGATGCTATACCAGACAGGGTTGCACTAAATCATAGTTGGAGCAAGGCAAAGCATAACGCTTTAGTATAAGAAAATGTAGAAGTATGTGAAAATATTTAAGAGAACGAGAAAATAACAAAGGTTTTATTTTGGTAGCAAAAATAATTAGAATAATAATGTCAATGCTAAACATAGTCAAAATGAATATGAAATCAATAAAATATTTAAAGAAAAAGAGAAAAAAGAAAATTAAATTAGCAAATAAACAGTAATAATTTTTTATTATTATATCACAATGATAATTTGAATTATATTAAATCTGCTATAAAGTGCAAGGAAAAGAATATATATAAATATAACATAAAAATAATATAATAATATATATTCAGCTTTATATTTTGCTTAAAATATTTGTTTTTTTAGTGTTTAATAATTTTTAAAATTAATTTATTTACATAGTTAATATTAAATTGTATGAAGACTAAAAATCTTAAATGAAAATAAATGCAAAAAAAAAAAATATATTAATAAAAATTAAAAAATACAAACAAAATATACATAATGTTTGTTCTTCTATAACTTTTTATAGTATAACAAATATTTTGTATTATTTTATATAACATAAAAAAAGATATATATTCACTTTTATATTAAGCTTAAAATAATTTAAATTTTTTTCAAAAGGGTACAATGTAATTATTTTTACAATTAATTTATTTAATTAGTTGGTATTAAATTTGATGAAAATGAAAAATCTTTTCTAAAACTATAAGAAGCAATAATAATAAAAATTAAAATATACAAACAAATTATACAAAATATTTCTTCTACTATAACTTCTTAACTTCTCATAGTCATTGTATGGTTTGGTTGCATTTTTTAAATTTAATTCATATTATTCCTAGTATGTATTTGTATTATGTTTCATCTAAGATTTTTAACTTACACATGGCCTTGAAATTTTAATTCTTCCTTCTGTAAAAAGTTATTGACATGGAAAATAAAAACTGATATAATAAAAAAATAAAATCGAATAAAATGAGATAAATAAATAAAACCCCTATTAGATCAATAAAATAAAAGAAATGAATTCCAAAATAATACAAAAAAAAAGTCATTCCGTTGGCATTGATATTTTGTAGATTAATGAAGAAGATGGATATTGAATAAATTTAAATGATTTTCTTTTCTTAGATTGTCACTCGATGGGATTCATTGCTGCCGCTGCTATCAACAACCACTTATTGGACTGCATCAACATTTCAACCAAAGTGCGGGCTCTCCAAGTTATATATTCTTCTTCTCATTTCTCTCTCTTTTTTTTTTTTGCATCGCCAGCCCTGTGACAACTTGAGTGCGCGAGTGAGAAGATGCCCTTGCCGTCGGCACCGCGTCGTCCACTGCATTTGGCAATGCGATGAGAATCCGTTGGCCGTGGAGAGACGGGGCGAGGCGTGGCGAGGCGAGTGGCTCGGCCAGCCGATGAGGAGGCACTTACCCAGTGCCAACTCGAGTCGTCTATATTTAGCTGCACTTTTTGCCTCTATTCTGTTGCAGTTGCTGCACCGCTTACAATGCTACGCAAAAATTTGTAAAATCTCAACAGCATCAACAGCAACAACAGCGACAACAGCGCCGACAAAATATTTGCTGTAATTATATTTGATTTTGTAGATGCATTTAGAAATGCATAAAAGATTGTTAATTTAATTGCACAGGGACATGTTTGTTTGTGATAGCATGCTCGATGTGGAATCATGTCTCAAGCACTTGAATATGCAATGAGCTAATTGGCTATTGGAGCATTCCTGACAACAGATCTAGCCAATTATGTCATTTGCTTAGCATGCAATCTAATTGCAATTTAAACATATTCAATTAAATATGCAATCTCTGACTAAGCAGCCGATGTGCAAATTGTCTCAGGGAGTTGAAAATTCACAAAATTTCAATTTAAATTGTCTTGGGGATTGAAGGAATTTAGTTTAATCGAAACGAATTTAAGGCATGTGAATAAATAATTTATGGATACTTGTAAAATATTTATTTACTTCTACTGATTCTCAAAAATTTAAAAAGAAAGTGGAGGTATTCTTTTTTTTGATATTTTTACAGGTACTAAATAAGAATGAATGACTTAGTTTAATCAAAAAGATATACAAATATGTGAATAAAAATTTTTTTTAATTATAATTATTGCAGGAATTTCCTACGGCTTTCAAAAGCTTTACTTTGATTTTATTTATTTCAATCAAAAATAATAATATAATAAATAATATAATAATAATCAAAGATAAATTATATTTTGTGAATCTCTTTAAGGAATCTCTTTGCACTTTAAAATAAAAATAATTTGTCATCAAAGCTAAGTGCTCTATTCCACATCTTAGACTTATTACAACTCATTGCCCTAATTCCTTTACACACCTTGCAATATATACAGTTAGATATGTAGACCTCTAACTCATTACGAACCACCTAATATATATTATCTTAACGCTTACACAGCATATTATTGGCCACCCATAATATCTGGCAGCCACTTCCCAACGATCAACTTGATATGCATTGATACATCTATGAACTTGGCCAATTATTCAAGAACTCATGACTTGCATTCTTAAGCTCTTACTATCTCTGCTATTCCTGTTCCTGTTGCTGCTCCTGCTCCTGTGCCCAATGCAAGTTGTCGACCTCAGTTTTAATGAAATGTTGCGGTTAGCTCACCTCAAGCCGGTGCTGTAGCTGTAGAGACCACAGCCAATCGCTAGCTACGAAAGTTTTAATGAAGCTCGCCTGGAAACGATTGCCAGACATCAATCTGAAAGGAGCACAGTGCTCCATGTGGTATTTGGTTTGAGTTGAGTTGAGTTGAGTTGCGTTGGGTACCATTCGACGCTAATCAAATTAGAATTCCCCAGCAGGCACACACCTTGCTCGTAGTTCGTAGCCTATGTGTGAGCTATGAGCGGATATATTATCAGCGAGCTGGCTTTGCGGTCAGCCGAAAGCCTGTCGAAGTCAACGTCTTCTATATTACTTATCATTAATTATTTGACGCTCTTGAGCGTTGAGCTGAATATATATATTTTAAATTTTAATGAGCGGGCGACAGAAGTCAAAATGGGTTTTCAAGCATCTACTGATGGTGCTGCGGCTGTGGTTGCGCTAACAAATCGTATGCCACAATATATTGCTAACTTGTGTGGCAGGCGGCAGCCACAATAAATTCCACAGAGGCAACTAAAACGCACGCAGCAGAGAACAAGCTACTTAAGTGCAGAAAATGTAGCATACTTTTCTGCTGCACATGCACGAAAGACGGCACGTGATTGATGTGACACGAACAGCTCGACAGAGGGGTGGGGAGGGGGAAGTGGGGACTCGGAGGTGGAGGAGCTACGGCTAAAATAACCAGAAGAGCAGCCAAAAAAAAAAGGAAAGACAAAAATAGAAAGAGAGAGAAACGTTTACTTTGGAGCTGGCATAGCTTACATGCTCTTTACATGGCCATTAGATATATTATGCGAGAGTTATCTGTAGCTCAGCAATAAAAGTTTTCGTTTCAAGCTAAGTAAAAAAATAAAATAAAACAATGTGTTTGTCACAGGGATTTGTGTGATATGAAATATGGTACAGCATTTGACATTACCCTGGATCGGTTACCAGAAGTCAGTCGTGGCACAATCAGAGACAGAAAGAGGAGAGATTCAGAATTTCTAACAGAGTCTAAGAGAGAGACTATTTAAAAATTAATGAGCTTCCAAGGGTCATTAATTTACACTCCTTTGCTCATTGTATATTTATGATAACATCTATTTCCATTTAAAGTGGCATTGTCTCACTCTCTCCTCTCTCCCTATATATATATAGATATCTGTGTGTGAATTCATTTATATACATTTTATATTACTTTGCTTGGCCATTAGCTTCAATTTTAATTTTCCAGCATTTTGGCATGGCAACGACAGAGCCAACTTTTATTTTATTTTTTTGAGATAGATGCACCATCTTTGTGCAATTGCGAAAGGTCGGCGCTGGCTGTCAAAGAAACAACAAATAAAATGAAAGATAGAGAGAGAGAGAGAGAGAGAGAGTGAAAAAAATGTAGGAAACGAAATCAACAAAGTGCGCAAGTTGCAAATCAAAAGATGTGCATGGCGAGAGGGGAGCAGGAGCAGGGGCAGGGACAGAACCAGAGACAGCCGTCCGTCTCTGCTGCGGGAGTGAGCGAAGAGTAAAATGAAAAAAAAAATCTGCAGAGAAATGAAAAGAAAAGGGATTTGGCGAAGAAACGATATGCAATTTTTTTTGTTAGCATTTCGAGAGGTTTGGCGCAAGTGGCAGCGGCCTGCCAGGGACAGCACGAAATTGGCCAATTTACATGCGTTTGTGTTTTCAAGCCAGGAATAAGAGAAGCGGATTGAACTTCGATTCAAACTTGTGTGGGAGCATACAAAGTGGCACGGGATCTGCTTCAACTGAGCGGCGGCAAAAAGAGTTTAAGCCCAGCCAAGCGATGCACTCAACTGGCATTAAGAGGAAGAGACAGAGAGAGAGGGAGAGAGTAAGACAAAGATGCAGACGTGGAATGGCAGACGCTAAAAAGAGTTTAACGCTTCAAAGCAGCTGCTCCTGGCAAAGCTGAGGCAGCGTCTGCTTAAACAGGTGCAAGTCCCATTAGCTGATGCGCAATTTAAAGGCATTTTATTAAAGTTGCGCCGCACACGGGGCCGTATACGTAATGCCACTTAACTAACATTGTCGCTTACATTTGGCTAATACGCTTATCGTGCGCCACAAAATGTAACTAATGATGACAACACTACGCTCAAGCACATTTCATGTCTGATGCTTGGCAGCTTTGCCCAGTTGGCTGGCTGCCTAGCTGCCTGGCTGGGTTTTATGCACTATGGCAACAACGGGTCGTATGCGTAATGCGAGATATTTCAAATGCAAATTGAACATTGAATGCCGCAAGTTTCTCTTTTCTTATGCCATATCCGATTATCAGAAACTAAGAAAGCTGTAAGGTATCAAAGGCAAAGCACAGCCTGAACGATTCATAGTTGTCAAACGAAATGTTATGCAAGAAATGTTAACTTCAATAAATGAGAGAAAGTCTTCGAATTGAGATTTGAGATATGCTTTGAGATATAAATGTTGTAAATTGAGACTAAACTATTTTTCATTTAAGAAAAGTTATTTTTTAATATTTTAAAATTTTCATTTCATTTCATTTTATTTATTTTCTGTATAGACTTTACATGGTATGCTAACATTTTTTTTTAATAACATATACGTAGGAAATACTTGAATGTATTCAAATGCAAATTGAGCAATAAATCTTGCAAGTTTCTTTATTCTTATACCATACTCGACTATCAGAAACTAAGGAAAACCGTAGGGAATTACAGCTTGAACAATTCAGTGTTAGTAAACGAAATGTTATGCAAGAAATGTAATAAATGAGGACAGATCGTTGTAATTGCCTTTAAAATATGCTCGCTTTCACTTTAAGCAGAAACTTTTTCAATATGAGAAGAGTTTCATTAAATATTTTCATATTTTTCATTTAACAAGTTCACTACAAACTATCCAATATATGTTAACATTTTGCTAATTACATGTCGTATACGTAACAAACAATTTAAAAGTTACACAAAGAGTGCAAACCACACCCTTGTCACCCCAGACTGTGCTAGATAAAATACAAAAATCGAGATGATAAAAAAGTAAACTCAAAAGGACACGTCAAGAGCAGCTAGACGGGACACGATTCGCTCAGAGCGAAAAAGCATTTAACAAATTTTGCTGGAACAATATTCAATTTCCGTCTGTCTAATAAGTTTTTGGCCAACACCACACACACACACACACACACACACACACACAGAAACACACATATACACGCACATTTAGTCACCCTGTGTTTCGGTGTCGTGGCATGTAATAAGCCAAGTCCAACTGGCATTCCAGCCTGACGGCCTGACGGCCTGCCAACTATCTATCCAGGCAAGTTTGTCAGGCCCCGGCAAAGTTCCATTACTCAAACACTCGCCTAGCGACGCACATTTTCCTTTAATTTCCTTTTTAGTTTCAGCGCTAACCAGCTTGTCACAAAAATTGCTTCCCCTTTACTCATTTCTCCCTTTTTTTTTTTTTTTTTATTTTTGAAGTTTCATTCTAGCTCAATGGCACTTGGCAAATGTCAGCTTAAAGCATCGATGCATGCACTCGGGCTTTAATGAATGCCCGCGAGGCTATGCAAACAGAACTGCAACGGCCAACGGGCCATATAAAATGCATTCGAGTAACTAACTTGGCGCAGAGCGAACGCGTTTATTTGGTAACCAAATGGCTGGATGTCGTTCCCCACTCGCTGTAAAACAGCGTGACAGGTGCAGACTTTTCCTATAGCTGCCGGCAAATACACATATACACCCATATATATATGTATATGCATATATAGTTGAAGTATTGTCACAGGCATTGCCTCTGTGCAAGGGGCGGCTTTATTGGCGTATGTTTATGCGGCAAATTGTGATAAGCGGGTTGCCGCTGAACAATTTTAGCCGGAATTTTATAGTTGATGCTGAGTTATATATCTATATGTTATATTTGCATATTGACATGATACAATAAACAGATATATGTACCATGTGCATGGCAAAGAGGAGATTTATGAATTTACAGCAGGGTGAGGGTGAGAGTGAGAGAGAGAGAGAGAGAGAGAGAGAGGGACTGTGATCAACGTACAAAATGATTGAGAATAGACGACCAGCTCAGCCAGATTGTTTTTCTAGCTTATATATACCTATGTAAGTGTGTTTATGTATATGATTATATATAACATATGCCCCTCACATCATTCTGATCAGAATTGATTTACATATTAAATATACATATTAAATATTACATATTAAATATAGATTAAACAACACTAATTTAATATTTAATTAATATTTTAAATAAAAATTTGATAAAATTAGTAAATAATATTTAATCAATTTATAATATAAATTTCATATTGATTTGCCATGAAACCTTTCAGTGAAATAAAGCGAAACGAAGTGATTAAAACTGATCTACGGCGATGGTGCTATATAAAATAAATATACCTCATACTTTCCTTATCAAACTCTCAAATATTTTTAGTTATAGTCTTTAAATAAATCACCTAGATGTTTTCATAATTTAATGTAAATTATACGCACTTTTTATCATGTATATCTCTTTCATACTTTTTTACTTGACTAACTTCTATACGAGATCTTTTCAATAAATATCCGCGATTGTTTTTATAAAGACTCAATTCTGGAGTTTTGGAATTTTCCCTATTCAACACAAAATCAGAGAAAAGAATTTATATTAAATATTTTTACCCATACTCTAAAGACTTTCCCTTCCTCCTAAAAAGAAAAGGGTTGTAAGAGGACTACTACATCATATACAAAAAGATCACAAAATAGATTATTTAAAGTGCTTTCACAATTGGATACAAGAGTTTCACAAGCACTAGAAATTACAAGGATATTCAGTATACATAAATTCAACACATATAAATAGATGTATTCACGATACTTTATGAGCAAAACTCGTAACGCATAAACGTAGCAACTAGCTGATGGCCTTAAGTCAAATCGTGCTGTCTGCCAGCAGAGCTCCATTTACGCCTACTGCCGTAGTCGACGGCCGTGCGACTGTAATGCAAATAGTTAGGCGCAGACTGTTTGCCAATCGGGCCAAAGCAGGAGCTTGGATTGGTATTGGTAATGGGGGGCTGCTTCGCAATATTGCGGTTGCGTTGCCCCGCACGAACGTCATGGCAATGACAGACGATGTAAAAGAGTTCATTAATATTGCAAGGTGGACGGGCGACAACAGCAACAGCAGGAGCAGGAGCTGTAGCAGGAGTAGGAGCAGGAGCAGGAGCAGGAGCCAGCAGCGACAACACAAACACCATGAACAGAAGAGAACGGCACAGCGCAGAACAGCAGAGCATATTTTGACTGTGCGCACAATTATTTTGTAATTTGTCACATTTTGTGGAAGCGCCGCCCCGCTCACCCCTTTTCCATGCGGCGTCATCTGCCTCTGCGTCGCGCTGCCTTTGTCCAAAAAAAAGAAAAAAAAAAGAGGAAAATATATATGTTCAAGTAGCAAAGTCTCGGGCTCAAGTGGCCTGTGACGGCCTACTAAATAGGAAATGCGGGCTCGTTGGCGCATGGCTAGCTGGCGAGCGGGAGGGGGAGGGACACCGGAGGGCGTGGGGGAGTAGCTAAGGGAACTTGGTACCTTGTATCCTACCAACAAGCTGCATAATTGTTTGTATTTTACGCTTTACATGAAAGCTAAGCAAATCTTTTGTTACACTGTCTACAGCAACAAGGCTGCGCCTCCTTTAAACAAGATACACACACACACACACACACACACACACACAGACACGCATACGCACACATACATCGCTCGGCTGCCGCCGCTTCATCTAGTAACCCTTCTTGCTGCTTTTGTTGGCCTTACGCTTTGTGTGCATATTCTAAACATGGCAGCGCTTGGCGGCTACCTCAACCTACTTTCGGGGCCAGACTGCGTTGTCGCCGTCGTTGTTAAGAACTACCCACACAGCGAGCCAGCGCACGTACCCGCCCCCCACCTTGTAGCCCCATTTGCCACGCCTACCGAAACGTGCTGCAAGTCAACAGTGAGGCAGTCAGTCAGGCAGTCTTGTTGCTGCTGTTGCTGTTGTTGCTGTTGTTGCTGTTGTTGTGCATATTTACCTAGCCCGGCTCTTCAGCGTCCACATCATCTGCAGCATATAGTATATATATAAGTGTACCATGAGAACAAGAGAGTATAATAGCTATATCATACCGTTTGTCACTTATGAAAAAAGGCTAAAAAAGAATGCATAGATCTATGCATTATTAAATTATAAAAATTTAACTATTTAATTTTTTTGTATTTATTTATATAATTTATTTTATTTTTAATTTATATTTGATTAATATTTAAAATTTTATTTATTTTTCATATTGTTATATGATTATTTATTTTTATTTATTTTGTATATAAAAATAAAAATATATTTTAGTATTATAAAAATATTATAATATTATAAAACTCGAATTATTTTCTTTTTTTATTAATTTTATTTTTACTTATTTTTTGTTAATTTTTCTATATTGGAAATGATACTAATTTATAACAATTTTTTTTTTAATTTTTGTTCAATTTTTCTTTTTTATAAAGTACAAAACATAGGCTTCAATGAAATACTGAAGATTGCCCCCATTCGAAAAAAACAAAATGAAGAATATTTATTTGTCTAGCCTTTAGAGCATTATGTTTTCGTACTTGTTCAGTTATATATGTACATACATATATATCATTCATCATAATTTTCATATGCAGCAGTTGGACCAGGCAATCCCTTGCCTCCCAGCCGGGCATAACTCTTGTCCGTTTCTTTTGCGCTTGTTTTCTATATATATACATACATATTTCTATATATATATATAATTTTTTTTACATATATATATACATCTTATTTTTTTGTTAAATTACATGCACATATACACAGTCAAATATTTATTTAAAACTTATGCCCGAGGCCTTTCATTACTGTGCACGTAAAAATATATTTACATACATACAAACAGACGCACACACACACATATATACATATGTATATATTCTGTTCTGCATTCTGTAGTTTCGTTTCTCTATTTTGTATTTTTTTTTTTTTTTTTTCATATTTTACTTTTGATATTTTCCCTGGGCAAATGTACAGCATGTTGCTTTGTGTCCGCCTCTCGCTTTGGTGGCAAGAATTCCGTGCTATTAAGTAAACTTTACTTCTCTATATATTTCCAATTTTCCTTTTTTATATTTTATGGTACTTTGGGTCGTGAAATCGTGGCTTAGTTTATTTACTTAGCGCCGTGACGCTAAGTTCGTTATATCCTCATTTCCATATTTTCTAGTGTCTAGCGTCTAGCGCGGCTCTAATTAGTCGTCCTTGCTGCGCGTTGTCCTTGTGTGCGAGCCCATTGTGCCCGCTGAAGAGAACAAAGCGCTTGCGACGCTCAGTGAAGCCAGTTCAAAAGTTGTTGAACATTTAATGGGATTTACCCACCAAATTGTTTTAAATTACATTGCCCCAGAGCCTTTGCAGCTGCACAGCAACAACAACAACAACAACAAAAAGAAGAAAGTTGAAAGTAGAAAGCATAAGAGGAAATGACAGCTGCTCGCATTGCTGAGCAGCTGAAGAGCGAGATACTGCTTAGAATTGAACTGTTAATTAAAATGATATTGGGCAAACGAATCAATCAAACTTGCCTGTCAACTGGCATTGTTTGACAACGAATGGAAAAGCTGGAGAAGAAAAACAATAAGGAAAATGTATGAATAGAAATCGAGAAACAGTTTCAATAACGACTAAAAATGCACCAATCAGGAGTGCTCGACTAGGAAGTACCCTGAGTAGATATTATACTCATTATATAGTTGGAGCTTCTTAATTTAATTTTCGGAGCGTGCTAATGAAATATTAAAGCAATTGCCATTCACTCGAATTCCATTTCGCTGCTCATACATTAAACAACATTAATAGGGGCAAATGTGATTGTATTGTAATTAAAGTTCTAAATAATAATGAATATTTTGTTGATTTTATTATCATTGTATAAATATCAATATCATTTATACGATAATCAATATCATTATTATGCTAGGTATACGATAACTCAGTAGCTTATTTATTTATACGATAACGTATTATCCTGCTATGAATTTCAGTCACCTATTGAATTTCAATCTTCTGGCTTTTATTATACGCTACTACACTTTCCCACAATCTGTTTATATGTATTGCATCCAAAGAGTCATACAAGTAAATGTATTAAACTCATATAAGAATCAAGAGTTCGAGCATTTATTACATTGACAAAAGATCATTTGCTTCGACCATGAAAGCTCATGATATTGTAAACAAAATAAAAATCGTGCTTATAAACAAAATATATTTTCACCTCTTGACAAGGCAAATAAAAATGATATAAACAAAATTTACGTCTCTTGCCAAGTTCTCACACTTTACACTAGTTCAAGAGTGTATCGATTATTAAGATCATTTATTATTTTGTTAAGGCGTAAATAAATAATCTATATTTATACTGTCCTTTTTTGGTTATAAATAATTATAAAAATCAAAATAAATATTTTATAAAATATTGCACATTTTTCCTAATTATAGTAAATATTGCAACTCTCAATGCAATCTCTAGTAATTATTATCGGTTATCGTATGTCTATCGACCACAAAATTGACAAAGTTCAATTATAGCCAAATACATTGAATTAAGTATACTGAAATTGGGCACTACACGCACTCACCTGTCGCAATTGTTGGTTTGGATTTATTTAATTTGATTTTTGGGGCCTTTTTGCAACGTAAAATTGGAGCCCTAATCGAATGAACGAGCTTTGGGCTGTAATTGTAAATTCTTTGGTTTAGTTCATTGATTGGTTTTTGGTTTTGCGTTAATTGGTTTCGTTATTATACCGTTTGATAATTTTGGGCGCCAAAGTACAGTCAGAAAGCACTCAGACACACACACACACATATGCACATATGGTCAGACTGATGCGCTCTCTCTGTCTCTCTCTCTCATTCACTCTCACTCACTCACTGTCGCTCTCTATATATGTATGTATGTGCTGCTCTGTTGCGCTCGCTCTCTCAGCGGATCTCAGTGTGTTTATTATGACGTTTGTTGCGGCACTACGGCGTCTGTCGTATGTCCACTGTCCTCTGTCGATTGCCTCTGGGACAGGTAGTTAATGCAGTTTGTTTATTTGGCCACGTTTAGTCGATTGCTAGAGTTATAAACTACGCTTCCAATGCACTGATTATTATTGAACTATGTTTGTGTGCGTGTGTGAATGCATGCGTTTATTTGGCCAGATATGAACTTTCGGCTGTGGGCTGAATTTCGTCGATTTGTCGTTAAGGTGAAGCGCACACAGGACATGCACAACTTGACTGAGCGAAACTGCACAAATAACTGAATTGAAATTTCGTCGCACCGAGCGCACTGTGTAAGGGCGAATCGTCGAGCAGAGCGCATCGCATCTGTGTGGGCGACAGCAGGAGCGAGGTGGGGAGGGGGGCTGGCTAGGTCTCTGCTTTTAGGGGTTCTACGGCAACAATTTAGCCTATAGCTTATTTTCGGCAGCAACAGCAGCAGCAGCAATTTCTTACAGCAGCAAATGCACTCGAGTGCATTTTAATTGATTTTTTTTTTCGCATGCACTTTCGCTAGCGAGTGCGAGCGAGAGCGCAAGCGTAATCTCTGTGTGTGGCTTGCCTTGCTCGTTTGTTGCACGCGGCGTATGCGTAACATTTACAGTTGCACTTCGCACGCACCTTACTTTGAGTGAGTTTTCCTCTTGGCTTGAGTGAGTTTTCCCCCATTCAGCTGCGATCTCTTAAGCAGCGCCCGTTCTGGGTCAATTAATGCTGGCCGTTTCATATTTTTCAAGTTTTAATTACCCTTTTTATTTTCAATTTCAACAACAGAGAAGAACAGAGCAGAAGAAGCAACGAATAAACTGAGTGTGGCAACAAATTTGTAATTAATTACATGCAAAAATCCAAACCAAAAATGAGTTGGCCACGCTTGAGTGACGAGCTGGTCAAACAATTAGCATTTTATGCCAGTTAAAAAACGTATAATGAAGTTTCTGAAGGATGCGGCTGGCTTCATACTCCCTCTCTTCCACTCCCTCTCTATGTCTCTCATGGAAAAAGTTTTTAATATGTAAAGTGTTTTTACCAAGGGGTATGCATTTGCTCGAAAGCCTCTAGCCCAGCCGAACAAGTTGGAGTGAGTAAACAGCCATTTAAACTCAAATTTCCATTCAAATAGATGGAAATCTGTGTCAGCTTTTTGGCAGTTTCCTGTAGACTGTTTTCGAGTCACTCCAAATATAAAGCAAAATTGTCAAGCAGCACAAGTGTCTGCCACAAGTATTCACATTCAAAGCAATTGACATTTCCATTATTTAACTTTTTAATTTATAGTCTGGCTACAGACATCTAGAGTTTCTATAGTGGCAACCATTCTATTTGTGTGACTTTTACTGAAGTAGTGTCTCTGTGGTAGCCCACAAACATTTATTAATTGGGCAATATTATGATACTACTAACTACCTCCCTCTCTTTAAGCATGCCAAAAAGTTGGCTTTTTATCAGATTCTTATTATCACTTTCAGACACTTCGTATCAGACCCTTTGGATCTATTTTGGTATGCTTCTGTCCACTCAATTTCCATTTTGTAACTATATAATTTGATCTGCTCCTTTTCGGATCTCTTTCCTCGTTTCCTCTATCGTGTTCTAGCTCTCGCTTGGTCACAAATGTAACCTTTTTCTTATTTTCTCTAAATCTCACTTACGTCGTGTTACTCTTTGTTCCTGGATCGTATAGTTCCTCCCTCTCTGTTTCTCTAACTTTTGCTTTATTTTTCTCTCTCCTTCTCTCTGTCATTTCATTGCCTATTGAAGTGTCTCTCTATTGATATCCTCTTCTCTCTTTCTTTTTCCCAATTTACATCCATTTTATTTTATTACTTTCTTTCTCTATCTCTCTGTTTTCACTCTAGTTATCCCTCTTTCTCCACTCTCTCTCTCTTGTACTCTCGCCCTTTCTCTCTCGCTTTCTTTCCTTTCTGTATATTGATCTCTCCATTTCGCTCTTTTGCTTTCATTGACTTTATCTGTCTCTATTTTCTCTCTCTGTTTCCTCCTCGTATTCAGATCCTCCCTCTCTCTATCGCTTGCTGAATTAAAAGAGAGCGGAAACTAAAGAGAAGCAGATGACAGTCCTGTGTCTATCTAACTTTCCATCCCGCCTCTGTGCCTCCGTTTTAAAATATTTAATAATGAGACATTTAGGCAAAGCTACATATCAACGATCTATATTTCTTCTACATATGCTTTAATTATAAATATTTAATAAATTTGTATTTCACTTTGCTTTTCTGTTACATTTTCTATTAAATTTGCTTAAATCCAATAAATAGGGATTTGACAAACATTAAAACTAAACACCAAAAGAACTTGGCTATAACTAAAATGCAGTAAATAAAATATTAGACAATACAGGGTGCCTCGCCAGTGGAAACAACAACATTCGTGTTGAGACATGCGCAAAACAACACAAACTCAAAGCAACTCAAAAGGCAACTCACTCAAAACTCACAACATGCAATAAAAAACACCTGAAGCCAGGCAATGCAATCGCAGACAGGCAGCCAGGCAGCCAGCAAAGGGGCGAAAGGGGGGAAAATAGAAGAAGAAAAACAAACGTCAGCTGCACACAATACAACCCAAGGCACAAAATGGCATTGGACCAAATGCTAACGAACAGAAACAGCAACAGCAACAAAAAATAGCTAAAGGTACAGGGCACAAAAGTGGAGCTATGACATTTGCGGCCATTGTTGGCCAGTGTAACAACACACTCCTACAAACGAGCTGCGTTTTAAAAATTTATTATTTTCCTAGCTGCCATTTGCTAATTACGAGCTTATGCTGTTATTTTTAACCACAATTCACGGATTTAAATTGAGCTTAAAAATATAAATATTAGTGGGACTATAAGAGGATTATAAATAGCATTAGTTAGTGGGCCTATTTAAGTATAGCTGAGATATTTTAATAAGTACATATTATGTATGACACAACTATAATACAATTTTTAAAGGAAAATTTTGAGTTACAGTCGAACTACTATTTTGATGCGACATTTAAAAATCTGCGCTTATTAAAATAATAGTAGTAGTAAAAGTAGTAAAGGTAGTTATTTCTTTTAAACTCTACTACTATTACTAGAGCAATGGAATTTAAAACAAATTAAGTAGTAGAGTTTACGTTTATAGTAGTAGAATTGTACTACTATGGTAGTAGAATTTAAAATAAATATTAAGATAAATAACAAATTATTTGATAATTTATTCTTTTTTGCTTGAGCTGCAAATTATTTATTAATTTATTCGTTTTTGTTTGAGATAGAAAAGGTTTCTCAAATTTAATTTAAATAGTAGAATTTAAGCCAAATATTAAGATTCAGAAATTTTTTACTAATTTAATGATTTTTGTTTGATATAGGAAGTGTTTATAAAAAATTCATGAAAATAGTAGTAGCCTCTATAAATAATTCCTACACTACTATTTTAATTGGCATTTCTATAAAAATAGTAGTTTTACTGCTCACAATATTTATGAAATACATATAGAATTAATGTATTATTATTAATTAATGCAGTTTATATTATTAATATATTTCTTGTTTTTTCCACTTCAGGATTTGAGAAAGTAAAAGTTGTAACATTTAGTTAGTTCATGCAAATAGTAATTGCTACTAAAATGAATTTCCATAACAAATGGAAGCCCGTTTAACTGTGGGCAATTTAGGCTAGCTCGCGGTACAAATTGCCACTGTAATAGTTGGGTAATAACAAGGCCAGCCATATTCAATTACTGAATAATAGCTCCAGCAGTTAATTCTATGGAATTTTGTAAAATTCTAATATGAATATACAATAAGCCATTTGAGAATTTACTGAAATACAGTTGAACAAAAATTTCGATTTACCTCTTTAATTTATTTCTAAATTCAATTTTAATTCTCTAAGTGAAAGCAATATAAAGAAGCACCAACTCCTCGTCTATAATTATGTTTTCATTATGAAAAATATGTAATTAATTTGATGACTCCAACGCAATCTTAATTAGGCTGGCCAGTCAACAATAAATATTTGTGAGGCAATCGAACTCCAATTTCAAACCTAAAGTCCTTCACAATGAACTCGGTTTTCATTGAAAGCCCCCCCAAAAAAGATTTGGATAATTATAGATCTGATCGTAGCGTAGTAATGTAATAATTGCCCAAAGCTGACCTTATTTGAAGGGCGTTGATGAGCATTGACCATTGAACCTCAAAGAGCTGAAAATCCAAATACTAACTACAAATCACCTGAATTTAGATTTTTAATGCAATCACATCAAATTCTAAGGTTAATGACTGTGTTTATGGAAACAGACGTTGGCTTGGGTGAATCCCTGAAAAAAAGTTTTTTTTATTCCATATAATAAACAAAACAATTCTGACTCATATCGTCAGATATGCCTATTTCAAGTAAAACACCCTTTAGAACACAGTATATAGGGTCGTTTGATTTTAGGCTAATAGGTAAACAAAAGTAAAATAGTTATATACTAAAAATATAAAATATTTAATATACAATATGAATTATATATATCATATATTTTCCTTTCTAAATATATAACTCTATTAAACAATTTCATAAATATGTCGAGAGTAAACTATTAATTTACTATTTACATATATTTAAAGCAGGGCATCTCTTATTCATCAACCATTATTCTAAAAAATTTCCAGTTATTCATTTTTAATTTTGTTTTGATTATTGTTTTTTTTTTTAAGCTTTGTTTGCTTGCTTGGTCTGCCAAATTAAAATAGTCTCGTGGAAATGTAATGAAGGTGTTTACATGTGTAAAAATTACGCATACGCAATGGTAGCCATGCTCCAATGAACAAACAATATGCAAAGCAAAACCACAACGATGATGATGAGCAATTGATGCGTAATCGTGAACGATTAGACGACATTTAAAATCGTTTTGTACTCTTAATTATGTTTATTATACAGTCCAGTGGCATGGTCCATATATAAAAGAGCCAACGCTGTGAATTTTCGCAAACAGTATTCACGAGAATTTCAGCGGGATTAAGCACGAATAATATTTTAGCAAATATGTCGCATCAACAAATAACCGTCAGTCGCAGTTTTTGGCTATACGTGGCTTTGGTAGCGGCGCTGTTACAGTGCCAACTGGTTTGCTCTCAATACAGTGGATATCCGTACTATGGAATAGGGGGAAGCGCATCGGCTGGCTCGGCTTATGGCATGTTTGGCAATGGCTACGGATATGGATATGGCTATCCGCCGTACTATTCGTATCCCGGCTATGGATACACATATCCTGGCTACGGCTATGGAGGTGGATCCCTAGGCGGAGGCGGTGCATATGGTTATCCAACTTATGGCTATCCGACCTATAACTATGGTGGTTATCCTTATGCAGGCACGAGTATGTATAGCTTATCTAAGTGAATCAGCATATGCAGTATTATAAATGTATTAGTGTTTTGGACTTGTTTTTTATTATAGACACGGCTTTTGCAAGCAGCAGTGGAGGATTCGCCAGCGCAAGTGTTGGGAGCGGAGGTGGCTTTTACGGTTAAGACATAAGCACTGAACAGATATTTAAGCTAATAATTAGTCACAATGTGTACATATTGAATAAGTATTGTACTTTAGTGGATTGTGTTATAGTATTAAATTCATGATTTTTATAAAAAAGAAGAAACAAAACTAATCTATATCATAATCAACCAATCATCGCTATATTCTTCAATGAAAAATTCATTGAGCCATTTAAACTAACCACTTTTTCCCGCCAAGAGAAGAAACCGATAACAAATGTCAGTGCTGCACAATGCTCGACTATCGTTATTCGAGCAAGCGGCGATTTATCGGTAGCTTTCTATTTATTTCATTTAATTAATTAATGTTGCCGGAAAACTATTTTTAAAGTTCCCACAGCTAGAATATCTATAAATTATAATAACATTTAGTGAATTCTCTCAAAAATGTTATTACTGAACTATCGATAAATATCAGCTGTGCAATATATTAAAATTTAAAAAGCACATACATACATACGCACTGTTCTAACGGATGGATACATAGGTAGACCAATAAAGGCCAAACAAATACAAAGACTTCGCGTGCCTTTTGTTCATTACGTTCGCGAAAGCCCACAAAGTAAGCGATAATTGATTGTCTAAATTTGCAAACTAAAATAAACAAATAATAAATAAAATAATAGAAAAAAATAAAATCTAATTGCAAAATATTTATGAATTCAGTCGCAAAAAAAAGTGAATGTGCAAAAACATAACATTGCGTAATGGACCCACATACAACAAAACAAATGCATTTAAATTATTGTAGTATTAACGCGCATGTGTGAGTGTGGGTGTGCGAGAGCGTGTGTATGTGACTGTATGTATTATATCTAGCTTGCATCTGAGTATCGTTATAGTTGTGCGCAGGTTTGACTTGGCCTCAAAAACTCGTGACCAATTGTGACAGTACTAACATACATAAATGCATACATACATACATATCTATGTGCATATTTGTATGTAAGTATATGCATGTACTTGAGTTGCCGCCAGTTCCTTGGTAAAAATCAATTAGCCTCCAAAATATTAAGAGCTTATGCACATACACACATACATACTCATGCATATGAAAGTATTAAAAAGTGCTGCTTCATATTTTAATAGACAATACCGGGGTGACTTTTATAAGCTCTCTGCCTCTGCCTCGCGCTCTTGCTCTCCCTCTCCACCTCTTTTCTTTTCATACACGCTCGTTTTATCCTCGGCATATTAGACCAAGAGCCAACAACAAAAACTATTGACGCATTTCTTTCACTAACCCTCCTCTCGTTCACAAATTTTGGCAATCGGAAATTTCCACAGCCGAAGAACTGAAAAACAGCTGATGTTTGTCAAAAAATTGCCGCTTCGTTTGAGGTGTGTGTGTGTGTGTGTGTGTGCGTGATGTATCGTATGAGCTTGAGAGAGTGTTCGTGTGTGTGTGTGTGTGGTTATGTTTGTGCGCATTAAAAGAGCTTCGATAGATACTCTCGAACATTTTACACAACTCACTTGCCCAGTTGGCATTTGCTTGGCACGAGACCTGTAATCGTAAATATACATAAAATTGTAGTTTATTTTATTTTTTTTTGTTGTGTTCTTATTATCTGTTAACATTTGAAGAGGGTGTGTCTCGCGTTTGGCTGCTTATCAAATCAATTCACGTTACGTTTCGCCGGCTGCCGCTAATGCTAGACCCCCAATGAACGAACGGCCAAGGTTGCTGATAAACACCGATGTGCTGTGTTCTATAAATGGCATTAATAAAAAACTGTGTTTGTATGCGTTATTTTCTCGTTATCTCACAGGGCAACGAAATTAGACAAAAAAATAAAAACAAAAACAAAAAAAAAAGAACATTTACATAACAAGTCATAAAACGAGATTGGCCCCCATCATACTCACCTGAACCATTCCCAGCTTCGAGATGTTGCGATTAATGCGTAATCCGGTTGCCAGCTCCGTTAAAAGGTAATCGCCAAAGTAATACCAATTAGCTTACTCAACATACTTATAATTGCCCAAATTTCGTCACAGCCATGTCCGTGAAATTGGCAGCGTGGTCATGCAGCCAAAGCTGAAAGATTTCAGCATCAGCAATGAGCCCATATTGGCCTATAGGAAGGGCTCGCAGGAGCGCGCGGCTTTGAAGGAGGCTTTGAAGACCACGGCGGCAACATGCACTGAGGTGCCCATTGTTATTGGCGGCAAGGAGTACAAGACGGACAAGGTGGTGTATCAGGTGATGCCGCACGACCACGCCCACAAGCTGGCTGCCTTCTACTATGCCGATAAGAAACTGTTAGAGCTGGCCATCAAAACGGCTGTGGAGACACAGACCAAATGGGATCGTGTGCCGTTGGCCGATCGCTTGGCCATTTGGGAACGGGCCGCCGACTTGATGGCGGGCAAATATCGCCAGGAGCTGAATGCGGCCACCATGTTGGGCCAGGCCAAGACGGTCATCCAAGCCGAAATCGATGCGGCAGCAGAGCTGATTGATTTTATACGGTAAGCACGTAGAGTATATGTTATATTAGCAATTAGTTTGAATTCATTTTTAATCCCTAGCATTCACGCCTACTTCCTTAAGGAGTGCGTCAAGTATGAGCCCATCAGCGAGAACCTGAAGGTCACGAAGAACTCTTTGCGTTATCGCGGCATCGATGGCTTCATCGCCGCAGTCAGTCCGTTCAACTTTACTGCCATTGGCGGCAATTTGGCCTACACGCCCGCATTGATGGTAAAGACTTAAATTATAGTTTTGACGTTTCGTGTCTCATGTCTCAGGCTAATCTATTTTTGTTTTGCCGTAGGGCAACGCTGTGCTGTGGAAACCTTCGGACACGGCCCTGCTGTCCAATTGGCGCATTTTCAACATAATGCGCGAGGCTGGCGTGCCCGATGGGGTTGTCAACTTTGTGCCGGCTGATGGGCCCGTGTTCGGGGACACGATTACCGCCTCACCCCATTTGTCGGGCATCAATTTCACCGGCTCGGTGCCGTAAGTTCAATTCAATTTGGTTTTTATTTATTTTATTTCGTGTATTATCGATTTTCATAATTGTTTCCACTTCAGTACATTCCAACGACTATGGAAACAGGTGGGCGACAATCTCCCCAAATATATTAATTTTCCGCGCCTCATTGGCGAATGTGGTGGCAAAAATTTCCACTTTGTGCACGAGTCGGCGGATATTGAGACAGTTGTGACATCCACAATACGCTCGGCCTTCGAGTACAGTGGCCAAAAGTGTTCAGCCTGCTCGCGCATGTATGTGCCCGAGTCCTTATGGCCGCAGGTGAGCATATCATATATCATCTCCAATTGCTGGATATCATATCTTATTTTCAATATTTTAATAGATCAAGGAAGGACTCTTGCGCGAGATAAAGCAACTGAAAATCGGTGACGTTCAGGACATGGCCACGTTCACATCGGCTGTCATCGATGACAAAGCATTTAAACGCATTACAGGCTACATTGAGCACGCCAAAAAGAGCTCGAATCTAGAGATCCTTGCTGGCGGCAATTATAGTGATAGCAAGGGTTACTTTATCGATCCAACAATAGTACAAACCAAAGATCCCAAGGATCGGATTATGACTGAGGAGATCTTTGGACCCGTTATCACCATTTATGTATATAAGAATTCTGATTTGATGGAGGCCATGAAGCTGGTGCACACCACAACGCAGTTTGCGCTCACTGGCGCCGTTTTCGGACAGGATGAGTAAGTGCTAAACCTAAGCTAAACGATTCAAGCTATTCCTCATTAATAATACAACTCAAATTTTACTTTTGCAGAAGCTTTATCAACTGTGCTTTGGAGGAATTCAAAATGGCTGCTGGCAATTTCTATATCAATGACAAGTCCACTGGCTCCGTGGTGGGTCAACAGCCATTTGGCGGCGGCCGCATGTCGGGTACCAATGACAAAGCTGGCGGACCACATTATATACTACGCTGGACGTCCCCGCAATCTATCAAGGAGACGTTTGTGCCGCTGCGCGACATAAACTATCCCTACATGTGCGAATAAGGGATAAGACGGAAGCAAATTAGAAAACGACAGGAATCTCATTTAAAACACTAACTCATATATATGTATATATTTATATAAATATATATATGTATATACATATATAAAAGAAAAGGGGAATGTATATGTATTTTGTTGAACTATTTTTAACATACGCACCTTCCTAGTTAACCGCTACATTTGTATGTAGTTAAATGTTATATCGAATCTCTGCTGTATTTTAATCGCCTCAAACAAACAACCAACCAAATGCCGAAAGATGTTGTAAATTGATATGCTGATTACCATAATAAAATCTCACCCGTACACAAACATACTTCTATAATGTAACTCGAATTATAAACTATGTTTTAAATTATAAAGTAAAGTTTTAAAACCGATTGTGATTATTTATTAATTATAACTATAATTTCGCCTCAATTGATTTTACTCAGCTTTGTTGTCACAGTCAATAATGCAATGCAATAAAGTTAAATGTAGTTACTAAAGCTAACAGTATACAATATATACATATGCATACACACATAGATATGTATACTAATTATTGTATATATATGTATATCATGGTATGCGTACACTATACACACAAACTATTTGACAATACCATTTAAATACTGAATGTGAAAATTATGAGTATATGAAAAGACGGAGCGAGGTTATATAAACTCAAAATTGAAATTCACTTAAATAAAAATATGAAATAAAAATTGATTCTCTTTGATTGCAAAGCATTAGGGTGAGTATTACTTTAATAAAAGCAATTGGTAATAATTTTAAATGATATATCATTTAAGCAGGATGTAATATGAAAACCTCGAGTTTTAAATTGATCGACATAAAACTCGACGCCAACTCTAATCAAGCTCATTTACGGCCATGCTAGATTAAACCGAATTTTCTTTAGTATCACTACAACTATCGTACATCGTACACCCCTTAGGAAACTTCATAATTTTTTCTTTTTTTTTTTTTAACATATATTACATTTTTTATATATATAATAATTATTTTGTAATATGGCTCCTCCACGTGGTCCCAGTAGTCCCCGTAGTCCACGTTCTTTGACTCATGTACGCAGCAAAGTTGTCGGATCCCAGACAGAGAATTTACGCGACTTATTCGAGATGATATATTGCAGTGATAATCGGGAAACAAATGACGAAGATCTCAAACTTATAAATGAAAGCGTAAATCAAACTAGAAAATCTCAAATTTTCAACTGATAAATTTATTCTTTTTTTTTTTTCATTTCTATTACAGTTCGATTTATATATGTCGACAGATAAAGATTTCAACCAAGTGGAGACGGCTGAGTTGCATCCCGTTCGCGTATTCATACAAGAACCCAGATCGAAAATTTGCTCATATCTGTATGTGCTAATGGGTTTTACATTATTTACGGGTTTTTTCAGCTGGCTTGCAGATATTCAAAGATAGTGTGTTTCATACATTTATTACAAAGAACTCACTTGGTCGGTCATAAAAACTAAATTGTGTGTTGATTAATTGGTGTGACTTAAGTTGTTACAAATAAAGGCTTCGAAGCATCAAACCTTTTAACTTAGTTTTAATTTAAGTTCAATGTGTGTGGTTTCTCTATGCACGAATGCGTTCAGTAAACCAAAGGAAATTTTTTTCTTTTTTTATCAAATTTACAAAGTAAAACAATGATTTTGCTTTACAAATTCAATGGGGGGATTATATGAAACACATTTCGTATTGGTTTACTGAACGTAGGTTCATAGAACAATAGTCAAGTGCAAATATTAAAGTAAAGCTAAACATATTTAAAACTTGACGATATAACTATAATTGAAGTTCTGTTTGATGGGTTGGTTTGGTTTTTTTTTACAGACTAATGTTTAAGATATTATATAATGTATATATAAATGTATTAAAATATATATATGTATATATGTTATGTGGTAACATAAAACTAGTCGAATTTTATTGAATTAACGCCCGTGTCAATCTGACCGCCCCGATAGCTGCCGCGCTTCTTCTTGGTCTTCTCGTGCTTGAAGGATTTGCCACGTGTGAATTTTAGATCCTTGTTGGCGCGCTCCCCCCAAGAGCCGGCAGCGTTTTTCTATAATTATTTATACATATATAAATATGTATTTTACATAAAAATGTTTATTACAATATATTGTATACAATATACATATATTATGTTCGGCATGTGCTTGTCTGTATGTGTGTATTTGCATGTGTGTTTGTGTCTATTTCATTAAAAAGAAATACTCTGATTTTGCTTGAATTGTCCCGGAATTGTGGAAAAATTTTCCACACTTGATCGGTCCATCTATATAAAGTTATTTCATTTGGGGCTTGATTCCCTCGTGTCGGTTGGTGGCATTAATCACTAAACTACATTACTATGTTAATTATCGAAGGTTATTTTCTTATTTTGTTTTGTCCCCGAATCGAAGGACTTGTTGCCAAAGCCGCCACCGCCGCCACGTCCCCCACCACCACGACCGAATCCACCGCGTCCACCACGATCGCCGCCACCGCCGCCGCCGCCACGGTTGAAGCCGCCACCACCACCACGGCCGAAGCCACCACGTCCACCACGATCGCCGCCGCCGCCGCCTCGTTTGAAGCCGCCACGACCACCGCGATCGCCTCCACCGCTGCGATTGAAGCCACCGCCACGGTTACCACCGCGCTGTCCATCAAATGACTTGCGCTCAAAGCCTCCAAAGCTCTTACGATGACCACCGCCTTCTCCGTCTTCCTCTCCATTTTGATTGTTGCTCTCCCACTTGCTACGATCCGGACGGCCGGCAAAACCAGAGCCGCCACGTCCACGTTGTCCATTATTGAACTTCTTGAAGCCACCGTCATTCTAGAATAAAGCAACACAAAATGGTTAAACACAAATTAGCCAAGCTGGTTGGAAAATGACAAAAACATATTTTCAGTAAAGGAGCCGGCGAATGCCACAAATGATTTGAGATTTGAGTTTGAAAGGCGCTTTAGCTAATTTGTGAGTAACCCCTCTGTCGCTGCTTCATGAACAACCCCAATCGTATGCCTATCATAAGTCTAGTTTGTCTGTCCCCAACCCATACCCACACACTGCAACACACACACATACAGCGCGCCACACTCAAATCCATTTGTGGCACTCACCTTCGCCTCAAAGGACATGTCCTGCACGCGCGAATCTACGATCACCTCTTCGGTGCGGACACGCCGGAAAGGCGATGGGCGACGTTTGCCCCCGCTGCTGTTGTTAAACGGATTGTTCTTGTTCTTTGTATTGTTGGGCGTGGAGGTGAAGCCATTATGCTTCTGCTGCTGCTGCTGCGGCTGCTGATGCTGTATGTTTGTCAAAGTAGTTTATTAAAAAAAAGTGGAAATTCGAAAGCGGATTCTGTTTGATAAAAAGGACAACTGCTGCTGATGTTTCGATTTTAACCATGCATATAAATAGGAGAGAAATTTCTAAGAGATGCCATGAAACTGAGTTATACGTGCCTATTAAAGCGGACGACAAATTATAAGCTTTTATAAATATTCGATAAGCGAAATCGCCCTGCGTCATTCAAACTGTCCCCCCTTTACTATCGAATATCATGTACATGTGTAGAAAAAATGAAATAAATAAATAAAAAGAAACTAAACAAATAAAAACTTAACACCGTCGTGTTTCGAGCCCATTCTGAGATATATAGACTGATTTTAATTAATTGCTCATACTCTAACAAATTTTCAATTATGGACTTCTTCTTGATTTTAGCTAAAAATTCAGATTAAATTAAATACTTAAATTGTCAATATTCTATACAACATAACTATCAATGAAACCTTCCTATAATTGGTTTAGTTGTGTTTGATATTTCTCGATTACTATATAATATTAGTTTTTATTTATTTTTATATTTTCTATTTTCATTATTATTTTTTTTTTAATTTATTTATCTATATTCATTTATTTATTTATTTTCCATTTATTTATTTTCTATTTAATTTATTTAGCTAATATTATTTATTATTTAACTATTCCCTCGGCTCATTGACTGCCTAATTCATTTATATATTAAATCCTTGACCAACTCACCTGATGTTCACCTGACTTGACGAAATTGTTGTATTTCTTGTTAGGTGTTGCCTCGTCTGCATCGCCGCCGCTGAACTTGCGTTTCTTGCCTGCGGCCCCATTGGTCACAGCTTGTTCTTGTTTCTTGGGCTTCACTTCGCCAGACTCTTCGCTGCTGTCGCTGTCGCTATCGCTGCTGTCCTTCTTTTTGGCCGGCATAGGTTTCTTCTTTGCTGGCGGCTCATCTTCATCGGACGAGGAGCTGTCAGAGCTGTCATCCTTTTTAGCCGCTGGCTTAGCTGTAGGCTTGGCTGCAGGTTTGGCCTCCTCCTCCTCATCAGAATCTTCCTCAGATGAGGATTCTTCCTTCTTGGCTGGGGCAGCGCCCTTTTTGACAGCTGGTTTGACTGCAGCGCTTTCATCCTCGGAGCTGCTGTCCTCGGACGAGTCCTCAGATTCAGACTTGGCTGCTGGCTTCTTACCAGGTGTTCCGGGCGGTTTCACCGCTGTTTTCTGGGCCGGTTTCTCATCCTCGGATGAGGAATCAGAACTAGAGGAAGCTGCAGCTTTTTGGGCCGGCGCTGCCTTAGTGGGTGCTGATTTCTTGGCCGGTGCCTCCTCATCAGAGGAATCGTCGCTGCTGTCGTCCTTCTTGGCAGGGGTTGGCTTTGCCGCTGGCTTGGCAGCTTCTTTCTTTTGCTCCCCCTCTGAATCGCTGCTGTCATCGCTACTGGAATCAGCCTTTTTAGCTGCCGGCTTAGCTGCAGCTTGTGCCTTTTTCGGAGGTTCTTCCTCACTTGAGCTATCATCGCTGCTGGATTCGGCTGCCTTTTTGGAAGCTGGCGTTGCGGCTGGCTTTGGGGCTGGCTTTGCGGCTGGCTTTGCGGTCTTAGCTGGCTCCTCATCGGACGAGTCATCGCTGCTTGAAGACGCAGCTTTTTTGGCGGTAGGAGTGGTTTTTCCTTTTGCAGCGCCGACAGCCTTAGTTGGCTTCTCTTCTTCATCATCACTGCTAGTATACGAAGGCTTCACTGCAACAGCCGCCGCAGCTGGCTTCTTAGCTGGCTGCTTTGCTGGTTCCTCATCGGAGCTGTCCCCGCTGGAGGATTCAGCTGCCTTCTTCGCTGGAGATGCCTTTACTGGTGACTTTACAGCTTCTGCATTCGGCTCCTCATCTTCCGAATCATCTTCACTCGACGAAGAATCATCGTTTTTCCCATTTGTGGGGATAGTCACTATCGGCTTCTCATTTTGCTTTTTCACATCGCTGTCACTGTCACTGTCCGAGTTTTGCTTTGCTGCAAGTGGAATCTTTCGTGTTTTGCTTTGGTAGAAAGCTAAGATATCTATCAGCCTGGGTGTACTCTTGGCCACAGCTTGCTATAAATGCACAAGATAATTCATTAACAAAACATGTTGGGTTAGGGAAACACGTGCTTTCGGCATGGCGTGCTCCCAAAACTTATTAAAATACGGCCTATGCAGGAGAATACTGGGGGTTTATATTTATCAATTGAATTGCCAATCTCGAGGCCTTGCGCGCAAATACAACACATATTTAATTGAAAATGAAAATAAAAAAATAAAAGGCACACACAAATAAAAAGCCGGAAGAACTTACCGCTTTTACTTTCTGCTCAAACACTTTTGCCAGGTTTCTGTCCTTAGTCTTAAGGTACTCATTGACAATAGCATCCGCTGTTTTAATTAGTTCAGCCATTTTTTTCTTTCACAACCCTTTTTCTCTTTATTTCTCGCAAAAATCAAGCAACGACTCACTCGTTGCAGTCACAAAAAAGACATAAATTCTATCAACGCACACACACGTGTTGTTTCGATAAATTTTACACACTCGATAAATATATTGCCATGGGACTTACAGTTGTACAGCACTAGAAGAATAGTACGGGGAAAAGTACCATTTTGAACTACTTGTGTGTATGCTACCTTGATTCGAAAAATTCACAATGCAGTTCATTTACTATGTGCATGGCATATAACTAAAATTTATTTGGTAAATAATTTGCAAATATGTATACATATTATAATTATATTCATATAATAGAGACGTTGATTTCTGTTTGTTCATAGTTCACAAACCAGTTCGATTAAAGTCGCTCCGAATCAATCTTCACATCTCTATTTTTCAACACTGCCTGAAAACAGCTGTTGTTCATTTTGTTTGTTATGAAGCGAATTTTTATAAACTTTGATTTACTGTAATTCGAACGTATAGACAATAGAACGCAATAATTCAAAATAGCAAGCTGTTAAAGCGAAAAGCTTTTTAGGGTATATGTTAATACTTCAATAATATCCAAAGTGTACTAAATTCAAAATTTACAGTCATGGCCGATGAGCCGTTAATTGCACATACCACACCCCCCGCAACGACAAGCGAACAAATGCCGGATATATTTAAATTGAACAATGATTGTCTGGAATGTATATTCGAACGTCTGCAAGATCTACGCAGCGAGGTAGCCTTCGCCAGAGTTTGCCAGCGCTTTCAATGGGTATGTCTGAATCGCTGGCGAAGCTCGCACATCTACGACCAGCTCGATATGGAGAAGTGGCGTGAATTACTGCCAAATTATGATGATCTGTGCTATTTCATAAAACAAATGCGCCCCTTCATACGCCACATGACGGTGTCGAGCTGTTTGTGCACTTTGCTGAAAGACCTAGAGGAAATGCAGATTTACCTGCTGCCCAATGTGACCAGTTTCTATTATGATCCGGAAGATGTGGATTGTTATCCATCAGATCGTAGCATATGCAAAATGGCCAAAATGATGCCGAATCTGTTGCGACTGCGTCTAACAACGCCAATACAAGGTCGTTATCTCTCCAATTTTCGGCATCTGCAGGAGCTACATTTGTACGAGGACCAGCATAAGGCATACGAACTGCAGCAGGAATACCTCGACGAGGTCTGCAGGTAAGTGGAAGTGAGATATACGTAAATATCAATACAAATTATTATTATTTTTTATTTCTGCAGTCAATTGCCCAATTTGCAAGTGCTGGACATTCGAATGTACGATGTTATAAGCAAACTGCGGCTCAACAATTGCGTCGCCTACCTCAACAATCTCACCATCTTGAAGCTCAATTTGGCCACATTGAAGACAGTACTCGCCGAGGTGCTAAAGCTGCCGGCGCTCAAGCAGTTGATTGTGCTGCTCGACACTGAGTTTTGTATACCGGTGTCGGCGAGTGTGGATACCTACGACCACAAGATACGAGAAGTGCACGAATTCTATGAGATAATGGAGCGCAAAGCGCCGGATATTATAGGTTTTGCCGTTGACGGTTATTACATGCCTTTGGAGTCCGGCTGGGATACGGATCTGTCCATTTGGTCACATCAAAAGCTCCAGCGCCTGGCAATTTGTAGCTGGACCCATGCCGTAGACTTTTTGGAGCGTTACACCTGCATGAAAAATCTACAGTTGCTGTGCCTGCGCAATTGGACCTATTTGTGCGATGATGTTCTGCTGAAATTCATTGAGATGTGTCCAAAGCTGCATCATCTGGATGTGTCCTATTGCCGAGAGCTGACGCCCAATTTTCTACAACGAGCGCTCAACATTCTGAAGAAGCGCGAACCAAACAAACAAAATAATAGATATTCGCGCACACAACCTCTGCATATATATTTCGTGCTCTGTGGCTTTGAGGACTATGTTGATGTCAAGGTGGGTGCTTTTTTAAAATAGTAATTCACATTTATTCAGAAATCAATTTCTTTGCAGGATCTCAAACGCTCACCCGAGTACAAGGACTACATTTTGTTTATGGATGCTTTTCCCGTTAGCTCCGAACGTGGCTTGAGTTTCGTGGATCGCGGCTATCAATTTGATTTTGATTAAAATATTGGGGAATACAATTTGATCTTGTACATAACAAACAACTCATCGGTTTATTGTAAATTCTCTAGACTTGTGACATATATTTATTGTAAATTTATGGTCTTTTGTGTTAAGTGACCGACGGACTAACAACAAATCAATTGCAGGGCACCTTATTAATTATATGTACATAAAAATATATGTACAATGCATAGACGTTCACTTGAATGCAAACATTGATATTTCTGCGTTGTATTGTTTTTTTTTTTTTTATTATTATTATTTTTATTTTATTGCAATAAAACTGTAAATCAGCAGTTTACTCAATTAACATCTATGGTAGATACTTTCTTCACACAAAATTGATAACTATGTTGATTTCGCGAATTCGAAATTGTCAATTATGATTGCTATGCCTATCGATAGGTACACATATACAGCTCTGATTGAAATATAAATTTGGCTTTTCACAATACTTCAAATACTTCTATGACAGTTATTGTTTTTACTGAAATTATCAAGTTTAAATTATCATGCGCGAAAATCAAATTAAAAGTCCGCCTAGGAACATCGGTTCCTCGAACACCGCCAGTGTCTTAAAATTTATAAACGCTGAGCTAAATACCCCACAAGTAAACGAAAAATAAAGATTTGTCCTTAAATCATAATTAAATAATTCTGCCTTCCAGAACAAAGTCTTGTTGGGCCTGGGGCTTGCCACAGCTGTTGGCATTATCGGTTATACAACATATGTGCGCCACAAATACGAGCAGCTCGGTTATTATCTAGCTCTGAAGGAGGATGGCCAAACCGAGTTCATAAAGAAAACATCCAATTGGGAAAAATAATTTACTGTTTAATGTAAAATTATATTCGTCAAAATTAAGGTTACCCTTTAATACCCTCACATTAGATGAACTATAAAGAAGATAATTTAAGAAATACTAGTTAGTTCGATTGTGGTTCAGATAGATTGAAGATTATATATTCATTATTTTTAATGTCTATTTAGCCATAAATATTTAAAATATATCGATAATAGTTCAGTTCCCATTCAAATAGTAACTCACCACATTTCCGATGATTCAATATTAATCGTATGTGGTGCAGCTGGATTGCGTCAATCGATAGTCATCATATAAGTATTCTCTTGTTTACTAGAATTGTGCAATGTGCTCCAAAATTGTGGGAATTAGAGCAGATCTGTAAATTAGAGCAATGAGTGAGAAAGAAACAAAAGCGCCCGGCGAGGGAATACGCTCCATTCGTAGCACTGGCGTTTTCAGGCTAATCAACTTTGAACTTTATACGAAACCGGTATGCACATGATTCTCTGTATCCTGAACACTGAAACAATATTTTCCGTTTTATTTTGCAGAATAAAATTATCATGGGCATCGGATTGACTGCAATAGCAGGTGTATTTGGCTATATTGCGTATATGCGGCACAAGTACGAAAATCTTGGCTACTATGTGGCTGTTAAGGAAGATGGACGAGAAGAGTTCATTAAAAAAAGATCCAATTGGGAAACATAAAAATTGTTTTCTTTTTGTTGTTGTCTGGAAACTATTTATTAACTGTGTAGCACAATTTGGTACATACATGAGTTTATTGCTATTGTAGTAGTGGTTGCCGAAATATATATTCAAAAAATCACAATAGTAGAAAAATGTTTTTTTATAGTTTTTTTTTTTTTTTTTTAAACTTTGAAAAATTTGCGCACGTAAAGAAAACAGCACTAACATTTCATTATTAAATCAAATACAGGAAGCTCAAAAGTACATAATATGGGGGATACGGCCCAGAAAAACCAAAACTTTTTACTGTTTGGCAGCTGTTTTGCTTATTGCTGTTGTGGTGCGGTTAACTCCTTCAATTGCTTGTTTTGCATTGTAATTTGTAGTAGTTGCTATTGTTGCTTTTGTTGTTGTTGTTGCTATTGTTGTATCACACATTTAACAGTTGATGGCATGTAATCATTATTAAACGGACAATTTGAGCGCCTTGAGTTCCTCCAAATACCTTGCCTCCATTTTAATTTTGTTTAACTGATTCAATTCCAGAGTTTCGCCTTGACTTTGTCGCGACTTGAGCTTTTTAATGTCCGATAATTTTTTGGCCACATTACGTATCTTGCGATCCTTGTCGCTATTGTTGTTATTGTTGTTGGCATTATTGTTCGGCGGAACATTGCCATTGGCCTGATAATGACGTGGTGTGCCCAGCTCAACCGTGTTTTGCTGCTCCTGCTGTTGATGCTGCTGCTGTTGTGGATGCTGCTGCTGCTGCTGCTGCTGCTGTGGTTGGTATTGCTGATGCTGCCTGGGCTGCGGACGCTGCTTCTGCTGCTGCGCTGGTTTGCGCGGCGATTCACCAACATTTACAGCTGAGCCTGTTGCAATCTCCTGATCTTGCTGCTGCTGCTGCTGCTGGTCCAGACCCTCAACGGGAGACGCTGCAGTGGCAGCTGCATCTTGTGGTGTGGCATCGCCAGCTTCACGCTTGTTGTTGATGTTATTATTGCCCTTTGCTTTGCTGCCGTTGGTATTTCTCTTCTTATTTTTGCCAACACCTGCAAAGGATACGAAACAAAATAAAATTAGAATATTGAAGGACATTTTCCAGTCATAATATAACTTTAAATGTTCTACAAAAAAAAAAAAAAAAAAAAAAAAAAAAACAAAAAAATGACCGACGCCAAATCATTTATGATAAATATTCATCATCATCAAAGGTTTATACACCAGATATCGAGAAATAATACAATTATTACAGTTTTTATTTTCTTCTTTAATGCAGATAAAAATCGAAAACTTTCTCAATTTCAAGCGAAAGACTCAAGCTCACCTCGATAGCAAAAATGATAATGAAACAAGTGAAACAACGAGAGGAAAATTTCAAAGCTTTCCAAGTATTGAGATCTTGAAAATTATAATGCTAAATAGTCGATATTAGTTGGGTTAATTCTATATCTGAATTGGCTATTATCGGACAGTATAGAAAAGTATAGCAGACCCAAAATTATGTTATATCGGTGCAGAATTTATAGTTTTGGGATCGAAATATAACCATTGAAAATGTTTTGGTAGGCAATGTACGTTTTTTACTTACAGCCACGTTCTCTAATATCCTACACACACAATGCATTTTGGTTTTTATTTTGGTATGAGTGGAATGGAATGATGAATCTTTAGAATTTTTAGTAGCGCTTATGTTGGTAGGGTCGGTAGCGTCGATTGGGTCGCGTCGAGCTGGCACTTGAGCTGCTATGGCCGTTGTTGACCATGCTCGTTACCATCTGGCCCTGGCCCTGTTGTTGCTCGCCGGAGCCCTGGCATCGCCGCATTATCGGATTATCCAAGTCATATTGTCTATGCCAAATTTTCCGGCTGCTATTACCTGGTGCTGTTGCTGTTAGTCCCGGCACCGTCTGAGGCTGCGGCAAATATTTTTCCGGATTTTTCCCCTCCTTGAGCAAACGCAAATGGGGCGGTGTGTAGGCCTTCTTGCTGGCCTCCGGCTGACTGGACTTGATGCCCTCATGTTTGGCCTTCGTGATTTTTGGCTCGGCAAATGTGTTATCCGCATACTGCTGCCACTCGATGCCAAGCAACTCCTGACCCTGCGGCCACAGTGTCTCATGCAGCAATGCGCCCGAATAGTGATATACCTTGAATCTGAACACAAGTATATATGAAAATTAACTCTATAAATAATATAATGATGCCCTCATTGAGTCACTCACCCGTTGCTAATGCGCAGTCGGGGCGCAGTTGTTGCCGTGACAAACCATTCGCCATTCGGATGCCATTCAAAGTGTGTGGTGTCCGCACACTTTATATTGGCGATCCTCTCCTTCTTGGTAACATCCCACACTTCCACGGCGCCGGGTAGATTGCCAAAGCCGGCGAGCACAATCAGATTGCCAAATGGATTGAAGTAGGCGCAGTTGCGTGGTCCCTCTCCAAAGTCAAAGATAACGTCACACTTTAGATTATAGAGTGCTGCCTTGGATGGCATAAAGCCATAGACGACAACAAATTCATTGGCCTTGGGGCTCCATTTCACACAGTGGACGGGGCCCTCCTTCGATAATGGCACAGAGCATGTATCGCCCTTGGTAGCCATAAAATGTACCGCTTGATTGCCATAGTACGAGGCACCACTCTTGTCCACCTCCGTGCTCGTTAGAAGCAGCAGGCCACTGCCTCGCTTATTCCATAGCATCTCGACGCGATCCGCTTGAAAGAAACTCTTACAGGCAACCGTTTGGTTCTGGCCCAAAGCTGGATACTTGTAGAGCTTACACATGGATGGTGCACCCTTGGCGCCGGGTGTATAGAATGCCAAGTATGGCGGACTATTGCCCGGACCGAGGGATAGCATACCGCCGCGACTGCCGCCAATTTTGCGTGATGCACTGGCAAATCCTTCAGTCGGGCCATTTGCCAAATCATAGAAAAGTGCTTCACCGCCGACGACCAGCGCAAAGATCGATTCATCAGATGACCACGATGGCTGCCAATCCGTTTGATTCTTTTGTACAATGGCAAAGACCTCCTTGCCAGTGGCAATCTCGTAAACAAGCAAATTTGCAGCACCCTCGGGACGATCTTTTGTGATGGCATAATGCTCCCACGTGCACAGATAATTGCCGCGCGGTGAGAACTTGAGATAGAAGGCCTTTGGACGCGGCAACGTGCATTGTACCGGCCAGCAATCAGCGTCGCCGCCAGTGTTGGAAATTGGCACGCGTAGCACCTTCACCTCGGCACCATTCGAGTATGCAAAATACCGACCATCCGGACTGAAGCAGATCGAACGCGAACTTTTCGTCTCCTCTCGCGGCAAATTGGGCTTGTGTTCGTATGGCTGTTTTGCACCAGCTGACGACCACAGCTCAACAGCCACGCTAGAGCGAACTGGAAGGAGATTCGGCGAAAGAAAGGCAAAAGAAAAGAAACACGAATTAGTTACCAACAGACACACACAAACACATACATATACACGCATATACACGCGGTTAGGGTCGCCGTCATACGATAGCGCCTCACATATGCTCGAAAGGCAGCCCCGACTGAGGCGAATTATGGCAGTGCATGGCGCAGGTGTTTGGCTAGCAAATGTTATTGCATTTAATTTATATTATTTGCTTTGTATATTTACTTGCAAGGGTAGGAACCACACCGTCCACAGCCGCAGCCATTGTCTTCAATCTCTCACACACACACACACGGTCACTGGCTGCAGTGTTGGTCAACAGTTGTTTGTGTACGCACGGTTGTATTGTGTTGTAATCGATAACGCTAAAGCAACATGCATTGGGCGCGCGTAAAACGAACATCAACCAGACGTATTCAAAAACTGCAACAAAATTTTATGCTCTACGTGAATTTCAAAACATTTTTAGACTAAAGAATTTAGTTATTATCAAACTTCAAGGCAAACTTTGTGCATAGTACACAAATTGTTGTTGTCGACTGAGGCTAAAACGACTTTCTCCCCATGTACCTGTATCACAAATTCTATACGCAACTTTAACTTTAAAGAGTTTCCATTTCATTTCTTTTTTTTTTTTTTTTTTTTTTTTTTTGGCAAACTATTACGACAGTTAATGTTTAAACTTGTTAAAGCACATATGAAAAACAAAATAAAAGTAACGCACAATTGGCATTGGAACTCGTTCAGTTACTTTCGCTGAAAATTGTGACCGAACAACGGAGCTGCGGCACAGTGGGGCAATCAATAGAAAACTCTGATATGTTTCAGAACGTTATTGAATATGCATTAATGTAAATTTAATTAAATGATAATAAGTAAACATGTTAAAATGTAAGACATATTTATTTTGGCGTATAATATAAATAATTTACTATTTGCTATAACTGCCATTCGGTTCCACTGTTTGATCATGATAGATGTCGTTAAACGTCGTTGTCACCTGCGTATGGACAGATAGGCAAATAGACAGACAGATAGGCAGAAAGGCTGACAGAGAGGCAGACGAGTAACATGTAACGACCACTCATGTTTCAGTTGGACAATGTTTTCATTGTTTCAATTGTTACTATAAATTTTATTTTATTTATAATACGATCGTGCGTTTGGTCAAACGGGCGACTGCGACGACAATTGACTTTAAATTTCTTGCACTTACCAAAGAGAAATGCTAACACAGTCACAACTTTGAAAGTTTTGTAACTGTCAAGAAATATATATATATATATCTGCTTTTTTCCTCCATCTCTTGATAATAACCATCACAAATTGAAACTAATATAGCTTTGGCAATGCCAACGACAGCAACGACAACTTTCCCAAAATGAAAAGCGCCTTTAGTATAAACGCGCATCTCGCACTGTCGCACTCAGTCTCTGTGGGGCGACAAGTGCTTACAGAATATGCGATTATGTAATAATATTAATTGTAATTCAATTAAATGCAGTTACTGGCTCAGCCATTTCGCAATGCTTTCGATTTTCATTGATGCAGGTGAAAACTCGGTTGATATCAATTTCTAGGCACTAAGACAATGAATTAACTAACTTACTTTACTAAATTACTTTAAAATTTTCTTTTCTTTTAATGAAAATATAAAACTAATAAGAACGTTGCTGAATACGCATTTACGGTCAAAGTACTACGAGACCCATTTAAGATCCACCACGCCCTCAAATGGTATATATATTATTTTTGTGCAAATCAGTAGAACTTCGACAACAATCATATAAATAAAATTTTAAGTTTTGACCTTTGAGCTCTAGAAGTGTAAGAAATACAGTTTTTCCTATTTTGCCACGCCCTCAAAAGCATCTTATGTTGATTTTTAACTATCTAGGGGCGAAATGGCTTGCACAGACGGACGGACAACAAGACGGACATTACACAAAGTCAATATACTCATGAGCATAACAAATATATATAAGTAAATATTAATAAAAATTTATAATAAATATACATATATAACAAAATCCAATATATACGAAACTAATTTAATTCGTGATTTCTTACTTGTTTCGTAGAACCTATCCCCAATCCTCATATTCACAATCACAATCTCGATTCATTCTCCAGCAGGTGCTGAAGGCGATGAGGGGTGCACAACATATGAAAACCAAGCAACAGCCGCATAAAACAAATCCCAAAATGATGAGACCTATTAGCAAAAGCTTTAAATTACGAGAATTCATTTTTTTAGTTTTTAGTTTGAGTAAGACAATTTTGAAATGTATTCAACGTGTAACTGTAAAGTAAAAGCACGTTTTGTTAATTTTCAACATGACTATCTGGAATACCCCTATTTCATCAAAGAGAAAGAAGCCACTTAAAACATATTTGGAATTTTTATTTTTTAAGATAACTAAAAAATTTATAATCGAAATGAAAGCTTGAAACGAAAAATTTTGGAATTGGAAATTAATTGAATTAGACGATCACGATCTTATCTCATCCCCGACCGAATCCTTTCAGCGCTTTGTGTTTGTGGCCTGTTGTTGGTTTTTCTGTGGCTGTTGCGGATTTTCTCCTTCCTCCTCATCCTCTTGATTTCGGTTCTTACAGCAGACCAGACAGCAGCCCAAGCAAGCCAGACATGGACAACACAATATCAATATCACACAACAGCAACATAGAAATATGAGTAGTACGAAAACCCCAATAACGGCATATATAATATTCCATGACCTCTTCTTTTTTACCGCCATCGATTCCTATTGGCCTGACTCTTCATGAAGCCGAAATTGCGCCCATGAAGCTAACCAAAATGCGCCCAATTCGTTCTATTCAATTTGATTCCAAAATGTATTCCAATAATTTTGTATGCCTAAAAAGTTATCCAAAAACCGAACTATTGATTCCAAACAAAAATTTTATATAATTTTTGCGATTATTGAGGCATTGCACACTTTGTTAAAAAAGAGTCTGAATATTTACTTATTACGAGACAGCTGTGGAAGATATATTTTATAATGTTAATTAATTATCATTAATCATCATTTTTAATGCTGCCTTAAGAGATTCGCCTACAAAACTTTATAAATAAATAAAACTTATATCGGAGCTTACAAATCTCTGTTTAAAATTGAACTTAAAATAATTTCAAGCTGGTATTTCAAATATATATATTTAAATCTATATTAAAAATTAAAATTCAATTATAAAACAATTTAATACAAAGAAATGAATAAAGCATGTTATTAATACAATAAAATATTTATATAGGTATATATTTCTAAAATCGAAAAAATTTAACCGAACATACATGTAGATATTTTATAATTCGGCTTCCAATAAATATTTCCTGTAATTTATTAATATTTTTAGCGACATTAAATGGTTGTTTATATAAATTTTAGTCCTAGCGAAATTAAACTGTAGCTTATATAATAAAATTTAATAATGAATATAATACAATTTATGATCTTCGGATAAGTTGATGAGATTTGAAGACTATTAGTTCACAAATTTCTACAAACTTAAAAATTCACTTGATAATATAATTACATATAGATATTATACATATATACACTATACGCACTTTCTGGCAGCCCCCAGTCGAACCCCATTGATGGCATTCGAGGTGTTTGTCATTCGCATTTGCTGCTGCAGTTTTCCGCCGACGCCGCCGCCAACGCCGCAGCGCGCACACATGAGCCGAGGCCAGAGCGTGGCCAATGTTAAGACCCATCCCCGATTCCAGAGTTGGCAACAGGTTACGAGCAATGCGCCGGCGTTGCGGCGCGGTCGCGTCGTCGCAGCGACAGCAACAGCGGCAGAGCAGCCGAGCGACAGCCAAGTGCTTAAGGAATGGTAAACGTTACCTGTGCACCTCAGTCCAAGGTGAGCGCTCGTGCTGTTCGGTTTGGTTTCTTTTGGCTTGGTTACACGCACTCACATACACATACACACATAGAAACACATATATATGTATATGTATATATACATATATATAGAGAGATATAGAGATATATTGCCGCGTTGTTCCACTCCTCCTCACTGAAAGACCAAAGACGGCTGAGCTTGAAATTGAAATTCTTTTGTGTTCCCTGGCCCTGAATCGTGTGCGCTCGCTCTGTTACGTGTTTCGATCAAGTGCGGTGCAGAAAGCAAATAAAATTTGTATACACAAAAAAGTAAAAAAATAATAAAGAAAACATAAAAAAAAACACCAACAAAAGGTGAAAAAAAAAAAACGTTAACAAGAATCATCGCTGCTGCCAAGTACAGCAGGCCAACAAACACACAAACAAACAACCAAACACACTGTTTAAAAATGGAATACCGGTGCTTAAGTAGAATTTCTGTCAAAGTAAGTGACCCCAATAAGCCAACCAACCAACAAAAAAATCACACCAAGATTTATCTTAGCCTTAATGCTCGACCTGAAGATGCTCTGCAGCTAGCTCAGATCAATTGTGATGTAGGGAAAGAATATATAGTTGAGATATGAGATATAAAATATGAGATATAATATAAAATATGAAAAACAATTAATTTGTGTTGTATAAGAATATTATACTGCATACAAAATCCTTTGAATTTCGACTGCCCGACTTAAGGATGCGCCTTTAGAAAAAAGTGCTCGAAATTTGTAATTAAGAGATGAGTATGCTCTTCAGCTTATATGGATGTCATGTAGAAAGAAATATAATCATTATAAATATGTGAAACAAAAGCAATTCATATTCAGCAGAAATCAATGAAAAGTCCTTTAGGTTTACGCTGATGGATCTTAAGACACGCTGCAACTAGAGAAAAGTACTCTAAAATTTGTTGTTAAGATATTTATAGAGAGGTTCACAATGATCGACCTTAACTTGGGAAAATTTTTGTTATGTAAGTTGTCTATAGATTTTACCAAGAGCTTTAAATAAATCGTATATCTAATGAGCAAATGAAATGATTATATGTTTGTAAATCTGGATAAAAGAAAATTTAATTAGAATTCGGTGCTAAGAGAACAAAAATAATATTTGCACATTGTTACTAAGAGAATAAATTCCTGAATTCCCAAATTCTCCAAGCAATTTGATTTTAATCGTTTAAGAAGTAATAAACTCGGCTCTGTTTATTTATTTGTGTCAAACGAAAATTGATCAATATTTATTTTGAAAAGAATATAAATTAAGATTTCTGTGGATTTTACTGCCCGACTAGAGTATATTCTGTGAGTAGATCTTTGTTCGGAATCTATAGCTACTGTATTATTTATTCACTTAAATAATATTCTGTTCAAGCCTCTTAAATTTTCTCTACTTTAACACGCGTTTACATATATTCAGTTACGATCTGTTAAGTTAGTGTATATAATATATATACTCTATTTATTTACATGCATTATTAAATTAGCTTTTCACTCTCAGAGTATTGTATGAGCTGCTCCAACTTGTTAATTAGCTTTGTCCATACCATTTGGTTGCTTAACAGAGTACAGGGTATAAAGAGCGACACCAGCCAATGAAGCGCCCACAAGGAAGCTTCGTCTCAGCTAAGCTGAAGCTCTCCAGCTGCTGCTGCTGCTGCTGCTGCTGCTGTTGTCTCTCTGACTCTGGCTCTGGCTCTGGCTTCGGCACTGACTCTTTGCATTGAACTTGGCATTGTTCTCAGTTCAGTTGGCGCTGTCGTCGTCGTGTCTGTATTCCTTATGACGCTGCAAACCAGTATGCCATTAAACTCTGCACTTATATATACGTACATATATCTAGACATACGAGCGCACATATATGTATATATATTTAAGTGCACACCTCTGTATGTATGTGTATGTGTGTGCAGCCCAACCCAACTGACTGCAGAGAGTCGCCCAACCAACGCCTTGGTGGTCCAATAAAGATTAAGTGAATTTTTTGTTTTTATGGGCTTGGCTGCAGTCGTCTAGTCTGTGGCCCGGACTCGGGCAGGAATTTGCAGCTGGAGCAGAATAGCCAAAGCCACACACACGACCTATTTCTGTGGCCAGCCAATCACTTGCTAAAATTATCACCTTTCTTTGACTTTCTTTTTGCTGCTTCGCGCAGTTCGCGGTCTTAACGAATTTTTAATGAATTTGCCTTGCTTGAATATAACTTTTACTAGCTGCCTGAATTATTTTTTATTTCTTCTTCTTTTTGCATTTTTTTTGTACGTTTTGTAACTCGTGTCACGTTCACAACGTGCATTTATGGCCATTCCATGAATAGATTTTACCACAATTGCCAAATGCGGAAGCGATTCGAAAGAGTTGAAGCTAAGGCTAAGCAGAGTTTTTGGATCTTTTGCTCAAATTGTGACCTACTACTATGTAAGGAAAATTGATGGGCTTAACATGAACACAAGAGATATGGTCGAAAAAAAAAAAATATATATATAGATACATTTAAATTGGAGAGTTTTTATTAAAAGATGAGATATAAAGAAAAGCTTTACAAAAAATGATACAATAAAATTAGTTTTTAATATGCATATAAATAATTTGATTTAAATTGATTTTTAATCTCTTATTGGACTATTTTTAGCCAAGGGGAAGAGTTCAAACTTGATATAAAGATAAAAGACAACAATAGAAAAATTATAATTTGTGTCAAAAATATGCTCTATACCTCTTCATTCATTTAAATGAATAAACTTTATTTATTAGTTTGCTTCATTCACAAATTAAGTGAATAGACTTTACCTCTAGCAAAATAAACAATTTACCTCAATATACATACTCGTGCCTAATACCCACTTTACCCATATCGCATCGCATATCATTTGCCAATCCCATTTGTTTGGACTTAAAATGTGCTCGGTTAGAAGCCGTGCTGAAGATGATTCAAAATAAATTCCCAGACTGATTCAATGAGCCGCTAGCAGTTGGCCCAAAGCAAAATACAAAGTTTGTTGTTGTTGTTGTTGTTCTTTTCATTCGTTTCGTTTTTTTGAAAAGTAGGCTAAACATATTCATACTTTGATTTTTATGGAGTCCCGTGATTGTTTTTTTTTTTCATCTTCTTCTTCTTCTTTTTGGATGGCTGTGCTTCGAGCCGGTCTTTTCATACACACGTACACACACACATACATATGTATATATGCCCTTCGGAGCGTGAAAATCTCATTCATGCGTGCCTCTGATCTTTGTTGTTCTTGTTCCTCTACCTTGAGTGTGACGAAGATGAACCCAACCTTAAGAAACGATTTGAATATTTGCAAAACGGTGCAGAATTAAAAGAAAAAACTGTAAAACAAAGAAGATAATTCTGTTTCTGGGTCACAATGCTGTCATTGTGTTCATTCTGTGTGCAAATCTATGTGTATATAGTTCCAGTCAGATAGGATAAATACAGAATATTTGTGAAAATTCACAGTATTTCCAGAAATGTGTGTTAATTGGCATATTTAATGTAGCGCCAAGAACTAACAGTACTTCTTGCTTGCCCCTTAATTGATGAGACGTGTTTGCCTCAAGCATAGCTACACATAAACAGCTTCTGCTTCTTTCTCTTTGTCGTAGTGAAATCCAAATTCCTGAACAAAACAAAATTGTAATAATAATGTATAGTAAAATAAACCGTAATGAGTAAAAGTGTCAGCGACTGTAGCTAATTATTATTATTGTTATTGTTATCATTATTATTTCGGTTCTACTTGGGCACGGCGAAATTTTTGTTTTATTTGCTCTTAACCTCATTTCCACGCGCGATCGCTAACAGCCGACAGCCGACAGCTGCTGCTGCTTCTTCTTCTTCTTTAGCTGGACAATGGCTAAGATACGCACACAGCATGCGAAGTAGCCCAAAATGAAAGCTGTTGTTGTCATCGTGTGGGAGGCAGAAGAAGGAGAGAGATAGGGAGAGAGAGAGAGAGCGAAATAGCAAACGGCAAGCCGCTGCCATTGCACTTGTCTCTGTCTTTCCCTGTCACACCAATTGCTTGCTGCTTCTAACTGTGCTTACAGCTACGGCAGCTGTTGTTGTTGTTGTTGTGGTTGCTGAGTCTGAGAAAACGTGCTTTGCATACCTGGCGAGTGAAAAAAAACCGCATTGAAAGTTTTGTCGCTTGGGGTTATCACGTCAAAGCGTAGAATCTCGTGTTTTTGTCTTGCCAGCTGCAGGTAAACTACAAAAACAACAACAACAACCCAGCCTAATGGGCAAACGTTGAAAAAATGCATAGAAATGCTGAGAACTGCCCAAGTTGCGAGCACTGCATTTGATTTATCGTCTTTGTAATCGATTGAAGTGTTGGGCAGCCTGTTTGATGGAATCTGTGTTAGTAATTCATCGATCCTGCACGAGTTGTTTTGGTCAGCAAACAACAAAGGCCTTGAAAACTGTGCCATGCTAGACAAAACAAACAAATGGCAATTTATTTCATTTTAAAGAGACTTCCATTGAGAACATGGAATGGAGCAGCTGCTGGCAGCGCTTATCAATAAACCAGTTTCAAGTTGTTTGCTATTTGTTTGCTGTCAGTAATCTGTCGTCGCCCCATTGCACTGGCTCTGCTATGCTTTCAAGAGCCAATTTTCACTATAGAGCTATGAAGCTAAGAGCCAGAGCAAAGCGCCCCATATTATTGTCTGGGGCAATTTGTGCTTTGTATTGGAAATAAATATAGTTTATTAAATGTTTATGCTTTTCCAAAAGCTTGCAGCTAATAGGCGAAGATCCCAAGCGTGCGACATGTGAGTGAGTGATTGAGCCATACAGAGAGAAGAGCGAGAGAGAGAGACAGATGAATGTAGGTCGTTAACCTCAATATAACGGCACCTTATATGTACGTATATAAGAGCTCTCATACGTATAGGATGTTTGTATGCGTATGCACGTGTGTGTGTGTGTATGTGTGTTTGCATGTGTGTGCTCTTGATAGTCTTTGCTGTTTCTTTTGCTGTAGTTTTAATTCTTATTCTTCCTAACCTGCCAGCCTGCTTGCCTTGTCTTTGCTTTTATTTGTTATTATGCGTTAAGTCACCAACAACAACAATAGCAAAACATTTAGTGCGTTGCCGCTGCTACTTTGAAAATATTATTGTAGTTTTTGCTGTTGTTATGTAACCGTCGCTAATGACTGCGCATTAGTCCGAAATGTTGAACTTGTCGCCGTGAGCGCCTTCAATGGGTTTTTGATTAATGCATGATTTTACAATTTCTAACCCAATTATAGCTAAAGCGAGATGGACTGAAAAAAGCAGCTTATCATAATTATTATAATTATTTGCATGTTTTTTTCTCCTCTCATTTTTTTTTTTGTCTAGTCATTGGCGCGACAATTTCAATGAACTCCAAATATGACAGTTACAAAAGAAAGAAACAAGAAAAATAAAAACTAAATAAGAGCTGCCACTCATCGCAGCTCCTTTCTTTTCCCAATGCTGGCAACGCGATGGCCATCGAATGAGATGCCCATGCGATTGCTTAAATGTGAAATTAGTTTAATTTAGAGACGGGACTAGGTATGTGTTTATTATGATTATTAAACGAAATTGTTAGGGGACCATCGTCCGCCTGTCCACTCTTCGCTCGAAAAACAGAAAGTTTAAAACCGGCATTGACAATGGCGCCTTTAATGACAGAATTTGACAAAAGGGCCAGAGACCCAGAGTTCAGGTGAGAGTGTTGTAAAACCTGTGCAACAGCAACGGGAACAACAACAATAGATGCGACGACTTCATTAATTTCTTGTAATGAATGTGAAAAGAATTAAATAATAGAATTTCGCTTTCGTTTACTTCCCACCACGCGAAGAGACACGCAATGGGCTTTATAATGAATCAAGCTAAAAGCATTTCGTCAAATGTGCAATTGAAAAGAAAGTTTAGTTTTATTTTGTTTTTCTTTGTAATTTTATTATTTTTTTTTGGTATGTGTGCTTTCGCACGCAATAGAAATCCAAAGTAATTCAAAGCAAGCCGACGATCACATATCATAAAAGCCATGTTTTAAATCAATTTAAAAATACCTTCGCATTGACATTGCAATTATTTGTATATAAAAATAAACATCAATTGTAGCCGAGGACAATGCACGTTACAACGGCGATAGTCGATTGCCGATGTTCGATTGTCGGCTCGAGCTTATTATCTTCTTTTTTCCAGCATAACATACGTGAAATGATTTTTCAGCAGGCAGCTCATTTCATTTTTTTTTTTTTAGTTAAAAGCAAATTATGTACTGCTGCAATTTGATTCAATGGAAACTGGTTTTTCGGCAGTGGCCTCTTGGCTTTTATTTTTTTTTTTTTTTTTGGTCAGGCCAACACTTGATCAACAAAATCTGCACAGAGAAAGTGAAAGAAAATTCCAAAAAAAAAAAAAAAAAATAAAAAAATCAAAACAAGCCAACGATACATAAAAGCTACGAGAAGTGGCAATAAAAAGTTCAGACCGTATTAGAAGCCAACTTTGCATGTTGTTGAAAAATGTATTAACATTTTTCACATTGTTGTTGCTGTTGCTGCTGTGGTTGTTGCTGTTGTGGTCTGCCTTGCTCTGTGTGCCGTCGGCCGCGCCAATTGGAATTTCTTCTTTTGTTTTTACTTTCACGTATGGATATGGGGGCGATTGCGGTTACCATGATTATTTATGAATTCTACTAATTTGCCTAGCGAGCGCGGCTACATAAGTTGAAGCGGGTCAAGACTGCCATTGCCTGACTTCGTTTTTGAGAGAGAAAAGAAATTTTTATTTTTTTTTATTGCGGCTTGAGGAATGCCGGTTAGAAAACTTTTTGATTTAAATCGCTGGATATTTGAGTTGTCTTTTTATTTTATTTTATTTTGTCTATAAGATATAAACCTAAATACATTAGAATTATATAAGTACTAAATACAAAATAAAAATGCAAAATAACACAGCGAGTTTTTGTATTGCTAATAGAAATACTAAATTAGCCATTATAATATGTAAATACTAGATATATATACTAGATATAGATATACCATCCGTAATTAATGACTTTTAAATTGATTTTTTTTTATTTATATTTATATTGTCTTTATAAAATATCAACCTACAAAGTTTTTAAAGATAATAATAATAATAATAATAATAATAATCTTAAAATACTCGATTAAATTATTAATACTGAATATGTATACATATGCTGTACAGGGTATTTCGAGGTTGGTCATCTGATTTTGATTGCTCTAATTCCTCATGACACAGCAATTTTTTGCCTGTCGCTTATTGGCTAGATCGCTGTAACCGTTATAAGTACAGGCTTGTCTCTTAACCATATCGATAACATATTAAATATGCATTCATATGTATTTTTTCTACTCTCTCGCTCTATCTCTTGACAGCATCTAACGGCACTCTGCGTCATCAGCATTGCACTCACCTGCGCCAATGCGGCGCTGTGGCCCAGCTTTAGCAGCGGCAGCAGCAGCAGCAAAGCGGACGATGCGCCGCCCAGTAAATGCGTCGGCGCGCGTGGTCTGAAATATTTATCTGGTGATGCGTTGACAGATTCACTAGACTGCCTGGGTCCCAATAATGCGCCATATCCAAGGTATTTACACATATACATACATATGTATATACAATAAAAAGTGTGTGTGTATGTGAGTTGAGTGTGTCATTCATTGACAACTCATTACGCTTCGGTCACAATGCAAAACTTTCTTTTCTAACGCCTCTGCCTATCGCTTTGCTTCGTCTATCGATTGCAGCGCGGCCGTTGCGCGCACATTCTCCAATTGGAACGGAAATTCGCGACGTGGACGTCAAAGCAAATTGCCCAGCACATTGGATCCAGCAATAACCACGAGTGCACTGTTGAGGGCCTACGATGAGGTAAACAATGAGGCTATCGGAAGCAGTCGTTATGGTAAGTCGGTCAGCCGCAAATCAGCTAATGCTAATGGTTGTGTGGCCGCCATTGATTGAATGACTGACTGGCTGATTGATTGATTGTTTGACTCTCTTTTGCTGCAGGTCGTTCGCTTAAGAACGCATCGCCGGCACAACAGTGCAAGAGCGACACGCCAGCGCGACTCTGCAAAACGCGCTACAACACAACCGCACCCATGTATGGCGTTAGCTTGACCTCTGGTCAGCCCGTGACAATTGTACAAAAATTTCCCGATCTTCTGCAACAGGTGGTCTTCGAGGTGTGCGAGTGAGTATTAAAATTGCAAATATTTATATCAAATATTTATATCAAAGTATGTGTTAAGCGCTGCCAGACTGTTGATTTGTATTTAATTGCATTTATCACAATAAATTAATTAAATGAGCTTTTGGGAAAGCCCTCAGCGTCTGAGGTGAAATATTTGCATATGTAGCGTTGCCAGACTAATGAGCTTTATTTATTCAAATTAACGTCAAGCTAATTTGCTGAAATGACAATTTAAATTTTTGCACAGACCAATTAACATTTAATAGCTGAAATTTATTATGATAAATGAACAATGAAACTTTTGGAGTTTTTCGTATTTTTGCATATATATAAAGCTAAATTACATAAAGAAATAAGACTAATGCTTCATTTTTCTGCAGATCCTCTGAATGCGATGTAGTGCGTGGCGAATGCACGCAAACGTATGTGCCTTATTTATTCCTGGTCATACCCCTTGGACCAGTGACGCTCACTGGCCAGGATTATGTGCTCGTTGAGAGCGGTTGTGTGTGCAAACCGAAATATTCGACGGGCGCTGCTCAAGAGCCGAACATGATACCGTAAGTGGGATGGAGAGTGTACTTGACACTGGTATACAACAGCAACCAAAAGAACTGAGCGAGTTTATGGGGATGGAGCAGCTAAATTTACTTAAATTTGGAATTATTTTTTGTAGCAAAATCGTATTTTCAATGTTTTTTATTCGCTTTTCGTTTGTCTCTCTTCATACACATAATGCTGTTAGAATGAAATAGGCTTTTGCTCGAAAAATAATGCTTAAATTAAGTTTTAAATTAAAATAAATCGAATAAATTATTTAACATTACAATGAAGAAACTTCCTCGGCAGATTAATTTATTTGATTTGTGCTAAAAAGAAAAGATAATAAGAGACAAATGATGCAAAACACGCAGTTTAAACGGCATAAACAAATTTAGTTCATAATTACATATAATAAATTAATTATAACAAGCCTTTTTAACGTTTTGTTAAAATTTATGTGTATGTACTAATTTTAAATTAAATAAATTATTTAAATAAACAATTTAATTGAAATAGATTTGATATCATTCGATAAGCGCAGTTAAATACCTTTAACGGTCTACTTTTTGAACTGCAATTTAATGGTAAATCGAGTGCGATACATTTATCCTATACAAGGTGAGTTTCTGCGGTGAAGTATCGCTTGCGCATCAAAGTCACCACTATCGATACGATGTAGCGCAAAGTGCATGCGCTGCCGCTACAACTATCGCTCATCACTCTGCCTGCCGTGTATCGTTTTGCTTCGTCTCAGCACTAGCTACACGCATAAATTTTTAGCGAAAATTTAGAAAACGAGCAAACAGAAGCTAAAAAAAGTGCAGCGAGTGTAAATTGGCATACAGTTTAACAATTACATTGTGTAATTACACTGATTGCATAGTTATTTTCGTGCATTTAGCGCCGCATACTTAATCGCCCCGCACTCGCACTAACACACACGCGCTGAGTGTTTTGTGTGTGTGTGTGTGCCCGTGTGTACATGTGCATGTGTGTGTATAGGTGACAATTTTGTTGCGTGGTGCCGGGTTACAGTTAAATATTACAGAATTTTTGTTGATTTGCGAGCGCGCGCATATAACTGTGGCATGAAATAAAAACAACGCCAGTTAGCCGGCACAGTTAAAATCATTTAACGCTAGCGTGTGTGCAACTGATTTCAGCCTCAAAATGATGTTCACGGTACGTTGTTGTTACGCCTTATGTTCGTTTATTCCAAGGGGTGCTTCAATTGCGCTGCCCAACAAACAATCGATAAACGGCGCTGCAAAACTGCAAGCCACAAGAGAAAAAGAGAGCAAAGATAAATTGAGAGAGTACCTACATATTTTCATGATCAGCAATGCTTTATGCTGAGCTTTAGCAAACAATGCTTACGCTCTTCTTTATTTGTCTCTTTTACTCTCAAGAATTGTTTTATCATTTAGTGTGGAATTCATTGGAATATGCGAAATAAATGCGAGCATATTATGGCATTTATTGAAAATTGCACTCAAATAAAATATATATTTTGTATTTTATTTATTTTAATTTTTGTTTTTGTTTTGGGTTTTTTTATTGTTATTTTCAGGGCACCAATCAGCAGCAGGACACGCGCTTCAGCGACAAGGAAAAGAAGCTGATGAAGCAAATGAAATTCGGGGATTGCCTCAATAAGCGTGTTGACATGTCGAAAGTTAAGCTCGATGTGCTGCGCCCTTGGATAAGTAAAAAGATCACTGACATTCTGCACATTGAGGATGATGTCGTTGTTGAGTTTGTTTACAATCAGCTGGAGGAGGAGAAATATCCGTGTCCCAAAAAAATGCAAATCAACATGACCGGCTTCCTCAACGGCCGAAATGCCCGCCAATTTATGGGCGAGCTGTGGGCGCTGCTGCTCTCCGCGCAGGAGAGTGACAGCGGCATTCCTGCAGAGTTTATACAGCAGAAGAAGGATGAGATACTCAAGCGTGAGGAGGAGCAGCAGCAGCAGCAAAAGCAGCGCCAGCAACAGCAGCGTCAGCGTGATCTCTCACGCTCTCGTTCACGCTCCAGATCCCCATCGCGCTCACGAGATAAGCCGCGACGCCACGACAGATCCAAATCGCGCTCCCGCAGTCGTTCGAACTCCAAAATGGCAGCAGCCTCCAATAACGGCGGCATTCCTGCGGTGCCCATCAACAGTGCTGCCCGAGAGGCGGCAGCAAATGCTGCTGCTCGCCTACGCAAACGCGGTGGTGGTGGTGCTGGAGGTGGCGGCGGCTCACCCAGTGCAACGGGAGGCGGGAGCGGCGGCGGTGGGACAGCAGGAGCTGCAGCAGGCTCAGCGACAGGTGGCAGCGGTGGACGTGCTACATCTCGAGAACGTCGTAGTAGTCGCCGGCGCTCACATTCCCGCTCTCGTTCCAGCCGCTCGCCGCAACGAGCAGCCTCCACAGACGCTGGAGGCGCTGCTGTCAAGACTTTAAATGGACGCCACTCGGTCCAAAAATCATCGCCAGCCCTTGCATCCAAATCCAAAACAAAGGCCAAATCGCGCTCACGTTCACGCTCGCGTTCAACGCGCAGTCGCTCCAGGTAGATAAGCTCAATGGAGGCCAGATGAGAGGTGTTGATAGACATAGGAAATGGGAGTTATAGAGTTATAGTTATAATAGATTGTTTCCAGTAATGAACAAATGTTTATAAATATTTATATGTAATATAGTCGTTCCTTAATAAGAAAATATTTTCCGCCTATGCAATTGTCATCATCGCTAGTTTTAGTTCTCAAGATCTAAATTAGCATTTATATATATATAGAACCTATACCAATCAAGAACCAGATCTAAATATTGTCTTGACAATCAATAATTCTAAACCATGAAATGTGTTAGATGAAATGCTTAGTAAAACCATATAGATGCATTGGATCTAAACATGATTTTTGTGTATTTAAAATCATCACAATTTGTACTTTTTTAAAACAATGATGATAAAACATTGATCCCTTGATTTCTTCATTTATTATCAGTAACCCTACATTATCTTAGATAAATTATGTTTAGAGAGCTCTCAAGACGTTTTAGTATATCAACATCTCGGCAATGTCTAAGTATTTGATACGATAATTATAATATCTTTACACCTTTATATCAACATCTCTAAAATCATCATCCTTGAAGCTACATATATTTATATTTACTTAATTCCTTTACAGATCCCGAAGCGGAGGCAAAGGCTCGCCAAAGGCACGTTCTCGTTCGCGCAGCTCCTCGCGATCCTCGGCGCGCAGCAATCGGCGTCGTCGCAGCTCGCGTTCGCGTGCCAGCAGCATTTCGCTGTCGCCGGAGCGCCAACAGGATCAACTGTTTGAGCATCGACGCAACAAGAACAGCGTGCAGAATAAGCGACAATATCGCAGCAATCGTGATGATTCCGCCAGCTCCATTGAGCGAGGCGATGGACGTGCCAGGCAATTCGGAGGCGGTGACAGAGGTGGGGGTGGCAGACGACCGCCGCCACATGGCAGACGCTTCTCGCCGCGCGGACGCAGTCCCATGCGCCAGGATAATGGCGGTGATAGACGTTTTCAGCGCTCCAATTCGCGTCGTCGTTCGCGCTCCCGCATGTTATCCAGATCGCCGATGCGCTACTCCAGATCACCCAGGCGGTAAGAATATATTAATAAATATTTGTTTGACAGTAACCAGAGAGTAGATAATATCGTTCAGGATTAAGAGATTACTTTTGTTATTTTAATATGTATAGCCTATAGATGATATTTTACGTATGTTTAAGTACACATAGGTAGCTGAGTTCTGTTAATTACCAAATTTAATAGGAACTATTGACTGAAACCCAAATAATTTTAGCCGTATAAAAAAACGAACCGTTGGATAAAATCCATACTTAAATCAAAGGTTTACAAACATTTAAAATGATAATTATATATGTATGTATTTATACTATTTTGTACTTCCTCTGATAGAGAAAGAGATAGACATGATAGTATAAATCTAAATCGTGGGGATTTTATAGTCTAAATTGTCCCAAAAAGCTTTCAGGATTGTTCTAACTCTTCTTTTCAACTATTGTTTTGTTAAACGATTGCTTTATCTTGTGATATATAATTTATACAAGCGTTCTCTAATCAATTAATTAGTTTAGGAATTATAGCTGACATTTAATGACTAAGTGTAGTATAGGCTGATATAACTGGACTTGTCATTCGTCTGTCTCCTGTCAGTTGTCAGTTGTCTCAATTGTCTGCAGACATCGATACTTTGCAGTCGATGTAATCGATGCTAGTTGTCTCTTAGTTGCTGTCATATCTATCTAGACTCTTCTCTATTTATATTGAGACTAAACTTGACTAAATGCCATTTTTTTTGCATCATCGTTACAAAAGATTTAATAATCGCCGACGTTCGCCGCCGATGCATTTCCGCGGTGGCGGAGGCGGTGGAGGAGGAGGAGGCGGTGGTGGTCGTGGTGGCGGCGGCGGTGGAGGTGGCAGAGGTGGCGGCGGCAACCACCGAAATATGTGGCAGCAGCAATACCGTGGTGGCAGTCCCAATCAGCGGGGCGGCGGCGGTGGACGGATCCACTGGCAGGCCAGGCACAATAGTCCCAATGGCGGGCGGCGCTTCGATCGGCGTCAGTCGCCGCCGGGTGGTGGTGGTCAGCGTCGTTATTCGCGGGATCGCCGCCAGTCACCCGGACCAGGCGGTCCACAGCAGCAGCAAGGACAACAGTTCCGCAAGCAGTTCTCGCCTGGACGTCGCTTCGATCGGCGTGGCTCGCCGCAGGGCAACTACAATCGCTGGGATCAGAATCATCCCGATCAGCGCCAGGCCATGCGCAGTCAACAGCAGCAGCCGCAGCGCATGCGTCGCTCCAGCTCGGGCAGCGCTAGTCCCGTTGCTGCACGTCGCCAGCCGCAGCGTAGCGTCAGTCCATTGGCCAGGAATCGTAGTCGTAGCCGCAGTCGCTCCAGCGGCCGACCCACGAAGCGCAGTCGCAGCCGCAGTCGCTCCAACTCGCGACCTCAGCAGCGACGTCGTCCCAGTCCCGCAGCAGCAGCGCGTCGTTCCGTTGAGTTTACCGGGCCGACTGTCAACACCATTGATCTCTGTCGCGAAGAGCCGCAGCAGCATCTGGAGCAGCATCTAGAACAGCAGCCGCCGCAGCGCAAATTCGAGTCACAGCCGCAGCAGCAGCCAGCGCAACTCCAGCCACCGGCTGCGCGGTCGCAGTCAGCGCGTCGCAGCTTAGCCAGCCTCTCGCGCACACCATCGCCGTTCCTTAAGTCGCACGAGCGCAACGCTGCCGCAGCACCAAAGAAGGCACGCGACAACAGCCAGAGCAGCAGCTCGGACAGCAGCGCCGATGATAGCGACGACAGCGAAGATGAGCGGCGGACGACGAAGAAGCAGCAGCAGCGCCAACAGTCACGTCGTTCGACGCATAGCGGCAAAAGCAGCTCAAAGGCAGCAAAAGCTTCGGCAGCCGAGCCGAGTAAAAGCTCTAGCAGCAAGGCCAAGGCCAAGTCGCGCAGTTCGGGCAGCAGCAGCAGCAGCGAGCGCAGCGACGACGACGATGACGACAGCAGCGATGAGCGCCACAAGAAGTTGCAGCTGAAGCGCAGAGAGGAAACGACTGCTAGCCGAAGTGAACGGGAGAGGGAGAAGGATAAGGAGAAAGAGAAGCGTCGCAGCGGCGACAAGAAAGTACGGCGCAGCGCGTCCAGCGAGGAGAGAGTGCCGACAGAGAAGCAGCGAAGCTTGGACAGAAGTCGCAAGCGAAGTCATAAGAAATCCCGAAGAGATGGCAGCGCCGGCAGCGACTCAGAAGACGAACGTTTGCCCAAAAAGAAACGCAAGAAGTCAAAGAAAGCGGCCGATAGCAGCGACAGCGATTCGGCCTCTGAGGACGAGTCGACGTCGAAGAAGCGTAAACATAAGAAACATAAGAAGCACAGCAAGAAGAGCAAGAAGCATAAGAAGCATAAGCGAAAGAGCAGCAGCAGTGCCAAGCATAGGCAGGAGAGCAGCTCGCAGAGCAGCGGCGATGAGGATGATGAGCAGCAGCATGCTACGATGAGGGGTGCAGGCAAACGGAACGGTAAACTCCCGTTGATGATAACTGGCGGCCCTGGCATCAATGAGGATCTGGAGAAGCAGCTGCGCGAGCGTGCGCTCAAATCAATGAAAAAGTTGGACTGAGCAACGGCAACACTAACATCATCATCAACAGCAACAAACGGCTACGAAATAGCTGAAGAGGAAGCAGAAAGCAATTGACTAAATATATAATATAATTGAGAAAAGGAATGAAGCTCTAACAAATTGCGCTCCCTCATTGCAGTTAAATGCGACAAGCGACACACAGACTTTTGGACGAACAGATGCGTAGCCATTTAAACACTAACGTAACATTCATATTTACCATACATTAATATTTCTAACAACTTATTTCATACTTTTAAGTCACATTGCGCGTCGAACCTAATACAACAAAAATCCGAATTCGTGCATGCTAAATACAATTTGTATTATGTACAAAAATGCAAGAAATTTCTCAACACAAAACATATAAAAAGAAACTTTAATAACAAATAAAAGGCCATTGTGCTTTACTAAAAAAAAAAAAAAAAAAAAAAAAAAAATCCCTATAAAAATTCATGAATCGAACTTCAGAATAAAGTTTGGTTAGGCATGTTGCTACAGTTGGCAATAATGTTTGCTTAGAACACTACCGTTTAATGTCTAAGTAGGTTTTACAGATTATAATTAATGATACATAAAACGAAACTTGCGTGCGTTTGAGAGCATTATTAAAGTAATAAATATATATAAAAAAAAAAAGGAAAGAAATAAACACATGTAAAAGATACGTTTCGGCATTTTAAATTCCAAAATATTTGGCGCCCTCTGTGCAACCCTTAAGATACTATTATTTGACACTACTATTTTACGCTACTGTGGTCACACTCAAAGTACTTAATCTGGCAACGCTTCACGCAGCTGTCAAATGCACTGACAGCGCGTCAACTTCCTTTCCTTTTTTACGTATCGTACGAGATGGTAAGGCTGAAAATATAAATGCAATTTAAATACACTGCCATCGACGCGTATTACAAACAAAAATGCCGTGAAATATAAAATAAATTACGCTATAAACTGTACAATTCTTGAATATGTGAGCATTTGTGTGCAAGTGCGCGATTTTCAATAAGAAAAACTATGCGTTTTTGTTTGTTGTTGCAGTCGTTTGCTTGAGAGTAGTGCTAAATGATAATTAATTGGTGTTTGTCTGACATTTGTTTCTCTAGGCTCGTGGACCTAAGAAACATTTGAAGCGTTTAGCCGCACCCAAGGCATGGATGTTGGACAAATTGGGCGGTGTTTTCGCCCCACGTCCATCGACCGGTCCACACAAGCTGCGCGAGTCGCTGCCTCTGTTGATCTTCCTGAGAAACCGTCTCAAGTACGCTCTGAACGGCGCTGAGGTGACCAAAATTGTCATGCAGCGTCTGATCAAGGTTGACGGCAAGGTGCGCACTGATCCCACCTATCCCGCCGGCTTCATGGGTAAGTCGAAAAATACATCCAGTTTTAATGTAATGTGGAATAATCTTTGTGTATCGCTTAGATGTCATCACCATCGAGAAGACTGGTGAGTTCTTCCGTCTGGTCTACGACGTGAAGGGCCGTTTCACCATCCATCGCATCTCCGCCGAGGAGGCAAAGGTGGGTTAACATTCGATTAGGATAATTGTTAGATGGGCTACATCGAAGACCATTTAGTGTTTCTCCATACGCCAATTGGTTCAAAATGAAGCCCAAAGCAATCTTTGATACGACGGTCTCTGATCTTGAGCATTCTCCAGCCGTTTCAGTAACTTTTACGTGCAATTACAAATTAACTAAACAGAAAATGAATGAGAATTTATGTGTATTTAGCTGTAATTCTATGTTAATGCAATATTCATCTCTCTCTTTCTGCAGTACAAGCTGTGCAAGGTGCGCAAGACACAATTGGGCGCCAAGGGTGTGCCTTTCCTGGTTACACACGATGGCCGCACCATCCGCTATCCCGATCCTCTGATACATGCCAACGATACCGTGCAGGTTGACATTGCCACCGGCAAGATCACCGACTACATCAAGTTCGATTCGGGTATGTTCTGGTCATGAAATGTTACTTCTTTGTCTTGGCTGGTTCGAAGACCACAAAACGCTTTCCAACAAGTTGCGTGGTTCAAATACAAAGCCAAAAGCAATTTTTGATACGACGGTCTCTGATCTTGAGCATTCTCCAGCCATTTCAGTAACTTTTACGTGCAATTACAAAGTTCTTAAAACTATTTTTTATCATCGATAGACAATAATATACATCTTCTTCGCAGGCAACCTTTGCATGATCACTGGAGGTAGGAATTTGGGACGTGTCGGCTCTGTGGTTAACCGTGAGCGTCATCCCGGCTCCTTCGATATCGTGCACATTAAGGACTCGCAGGGCCATGTGTTTGCCACTCGTTTGACCAACGTCTTCATCATTGGCAAGGGCAACAAGCCTTACATCTCGCTGCCAAAGGGCAAGGGTGTTAAGCTGAGCATCTCGGAGGAGCGCGACAAGCGTTTGGCCGCCAAGACCCACTAAAGACCATTAAATGCCAGCTGGACAGAGCAGCAGCAACGGATTTTGGGGAGAAGAGTAAATAGGATTTTTACTTTTTAGCATAACTCTGTACGTTAAAGCTACGGAATTACAAAAACAACGTAAAGAAAAAGTATTTGTTGTCTTTTTAATGATGCATTGGAACATGTATGAAAAGATCACAATGTACATTAAACATATAACATTAACAAATTTAAACAAGCCGCCAACTCCGAAGTTTCTGATGAGAGGTATAAGCTATTGTTATCGATATGTGTTGTTTGTTGAGCTGGAGTCAAAAAGAAGATGGGCCATAACAAATGTTTTCAACTGAGGGCTGCAAGCGTTTTCCCAGTCTCCACAGGAATGCATTAGAAGAGATTGAGAATATTTTAAGGAATGCCCATAATTTTAAAGAGATGGTGAATTTCGCGCGCTGATTTCCTGCGGCTACCAAAGTTCAGTGCTGTCAAATGTTCAACGTGTTTATAGGGCTGCAAAGTATCGATAAATGACTAATCACTATCGGATTATCGATAGCAAGTTTTTGTCTTTGTGTGTAATGCAGTGAAAGGCTTGCGCACTGGGCAAAAATTAGTTAAAAAGAAACTGGAAATCAACTCGCCCACTGAAGTAAATCATAGGTAATTTATACTAATAATTGGAAGCCATATAGCTGCTGCTGTTGTCCACAGGCAAAAACAAGCACTAAGCTGTCGGTGTGTGTGCGAGTAGATGTTTGTGATTGTATGTGCTTACACACACATCTACATAGCAACACGCATTGAGAAACATATGTACATGCCCTCATATATATGGGGATATGTATGTTTGTATGCCTGTTGGTCATATGTTAGCATGTCTGATAAACTCTGCTGAAGTGAATCATTTGTTTGGCTCCAGCTCTAGTTTGTTTGTTTGTGTAATGCGAAGCGCATTAGTTTGTAGATAGTTGCGGTAGCTAAACTCGAACACTCTACATTCGCAGACAGTCGCGTCATAGAACCCAACGAGCACGCACCACCCACAAATTATATTAAAAAAAAAAAAAACAAGAGCGGAACACCAAAGACAGATTTTTGACCGACCCTTGAAGCCATCACACACTCACACACACACATCGATACATCGATACTCGCACACACACACATACATAGTAAAGCAGTGAGCAGAGCCGAATCACTATGGCGCAGCCATTGAACAATCCATCGAGCAGCACGCATCGTGATTATGGTGCCATATCCACTGCCACGCCCGAGGTCAGCTTTGCCGCTGGCTCCAATTCGGGTAATGCCGGCTTTAGTCCAACCGAGTTTGTGTCGCTCAGCGAGGATATTGGCCACAATATCACATCGATCAATACGAGCACCAAGCAGCTGGAGAAGCAGCTGAAGCTGATTGCCACCTCCAAGGATTTGTCTGCGCTGCTAGAGAAGATCCACAGCATTAATACCAAGACCAATGCCCGGGTACAGACGACCAGTCAGGATTTGGAACGACTACAGGCGGTACTACGTCATGGTGATCGTCAGCAAAAGCTGCAGCTGGAGAAGCTAACAGACGAATTTCAGGATGTGCTCATGAAATATTCCAAGCAGCAGAAGTGCATCTCGGAGGCCACGCGACGGAGTTATCAAGTGGCCGCTCAGGACGAAAGAGAGGCTGACATGACCGCCAGAACGGAGCTTTTGCAGCAGCAGCGACAGGAGCAAGCCGGCCTGGAGAGGCAGCACGATATGCTCGTCGAGCGTCAGCGCCAAGTGGAACAAATCGAGTCGGATATACTCGATGTGAATGTAATTATGAACAAGCTGAGCACCTACGTAGCAGAGCAAGGAGATGCAGTGGGTGAGTAATTGTCCAAATCCAAAATCCCTGGACAAAACAATGAATTTATTGATATCACGCTATTGATAAGGGAAAACAAACTAGCATATCGATTGCCAAAATTTTTAAAAGTTTCGATAACAAATTCACGTATCGATTGCCGAAATTTAAATTTGCACCAATTCAAATTAAAAGTATGTTAAGTGATCATACATAAAAACTGATTTCCTTTCATACAGAAATATTAATAAAGATAACCTTTTCATAATACAGATACGTTGGAACAGCTCATGGATCGTACTGCCGCTAACGTGGAGGATGGCCGCACTGAGCTTCAAAAGGCAGCAGCTAGTCGTAATAGCTACCGCCGTAAGATATTGATACTTTTAGTGATTGCTGTGATAATAGGATTAATTGTAACTGGCATTATAGTCAGTAAATTGAGTTAATTGTTTTATATACATGTATACACCCACACTTACACACGTACACACACACACATACCCTTCTACATACATACACATAAAATAATTAAAAAGTTTTGTAAAACTATTTTTATAAAAAATAAGGCATTAATCACAAAGTGAGTAAAAGGCGCGCGCCAAGCGGGCAAAGACAAAACAAATACAAAACCGCAAAGCAAATTCAATAAAAATACGAGTTTAAATCCGAAACGCGTTATAGATCGTAGTTATGTGTATGAAACAAAAAAATGAAAGAAAATTATAATTTAAAAAATATATAAATATATATGTAAAAGAAACCATTTAAAATTTAATGATAACACAATAACAAATTACAAAATATTCAACGCTTTTAAATGTTAAATTATTTCCTGTTAAACAAAAGCAAAAAACAAAAAGCAACCATAACAAAAATATCAAAACAATAATTTGCGTTTTGAATTTGTTTTCTCGTAGTTAAGCAAGTTAAGCAAATAATATATGTTGAGTAAACTCGGTTAATTGCTTTTCGGTCTATATGCTTAAGATATTAAACGATCAATTTATATAATCTGATTTGATTTTATGTACACATTCAATTAACCAAAGCTAATTAACTCGTTGTTGTCCGAATATAAATAAAAAATGGGAAAATTAAAAATAAATCTAAGTGTGGAGCAGTTTTATTTTAAATTCCGTAACAGCTGGCAAGTGCTAGAGTAATGTTAAATAACATAAGAAATCAGTTACTCAATTTTGCGTTCACATAAAAGATAATTATCGTTGCACCGCCACAAACTATCGACCATCAGCTGTGAACGGCTTATCAATCCACGTGTTTAGTTTGTGAATTCATTTTTTAGTTTACATTGAATTTAATAATATTAAAATGCCACAAGGTAAATTTAAAAAGGCAAAGTTGCCTGCAGCTATACAGAACAAGAAAAAGCAGCAGAAACAGGCAGCTTTCACACGCAGATCAAGTGAGTAATTGATTTTGGCAACAGGCTAAATTGCCTTTGAGACTCAATTCCTCGCTATTGCTTACAGACGCTCCCATACAACCAAAGAAGGGCAAATTCAATGAGACGCAGAAAATCAAGGCTGTTATTTCCAAATCAGTTAACAAGAGTGTCGAAAGCGAACTGCGTTTGCGTGCACATGAAGGCTACATTCAGCTCAGCAAAGCCCAGGAAGCGGTTGCCAAACATCATGCGACGCAGGCCGCTGCAGCGGCTGCTGCTAGCACGGACGAATAGTACATGTAAATGATATTGGGTATGTTTCACTTTTGTCATGATGTGTGTAACTCATAGATCATACTAATTTTTCCATCTTCCAATCGGCTTCTCTACTAAATATTGTTAAAACGCATATGAAGTGCTCGATGGTCTGGTTGCCTCGGGGATCATGCCTGCTTGCTCGTCTCTCAGTATTCTAGTTGCATATTGAGTATACTGATTGATCAGACCATGTTGGTAATGTTGTGGAATGTACAACTCGCTCGATGATGTTCTCTGCGTCTGATAGATCATGTTGGACTGCTGTCTGGGCTCACACGTATAAAATGTGTTTGATGTTCTATGCCCTTAATACGTGATTGAAGTTCGAAGCATCTCAAAGCTGTATAAAAGGCTCTATTATAACTGATCGTCTCGTCTCCAGGTCGCTCGCTATTTAATACTACTATGAAACCGCTTTGTCAATTTATATACAACTGGCTCGATGCTGAATGCTCTTTATAGATTATGTTGGACTACTCTTAAGGCATACCAAATGAGCACCCAGCTCATTTGTTCTATGTACTTAGGAGATTCTATTAGACTTCTTGGACCTTTCCAGATTAGCCATATATGACATTTAAAGACTTCATGCTCTATAAGCACAATTCTTTTTTTTAAATAATTCTAAATAGATATCAAATATGAAAAAAAAAAAAAAATGGATGCATCATCCGAACAGCATTGGCAGCGCCGAGTGCTGTTGTAATTGCAGGCTGAGTGCAGTTCATTTGCATGCTGTTGAATATGCAAAGGACACTTCAATTCTCGCAGCATAAAACTAAAAACGTAAAACGCTTCGAAAAAAAAGCACCCAACCGTGTATCCAAACATCGCACCGCCAGGTGGGTTAACACCTGGCCGTCTATCGCAGGCGAGGCGAGCGAACGCTCATTTGCATGCGATTGGCGTAGATGTGGGGTGCGGGTGCGGGTGTGGGCGTGTGGGTGCGTGGAGGCAACAGAATCAAAGTGCAATACGAATCAGCATAGAAAAACAAAGGCAACAAGCAATTGACAGCGGATTTTTCGCGTTATTCCGCCATGCGGGGAGCGGGCTAATTAAAAGCGCATCAAAAGCGCCGAAATTTGCATAGCAAACGAAACGAAACGTTGGAAAAAATTAAATAAAAATTTTTAGTTTTCACATTTTTCAGTTGCCAATTTCACATTTCGCATTTTCCATTTGACATTTTTACTTTTCACTTTCCTCGTTTCTCTCTTGCCCCGCCACCCTCGCTTTGTTCATGCCAAACTTTACTTTCTTATTTTTTGACGAGTCCGAGGAGGGCGGCAGCAACACGCCCAATAAATGTCAGCGCACAGCAAAACTTTGTTGGCCAAACTATTTTTATAATTAAACAAACACAAACTAATTGCGATAAGTAGCAGAAATGACTTGGCAATTTGTGAAACATTCCTTCTGCTGCCGCCTGCGGCCCATAAATTATCCAAATGCCAAAGTTGTTTGTGTTCCGAGTGCCATGAGTTTTTGGCATATGCCCTGGGCTATAGACGAGCCCTTTTTCCGGCTTTAATCTGAGTTGAGTCAAGTCTGATTGGAGGTCTGTGTGGAGGTATCAATAAGATGTGTCGATAGCACTTTGATGATGATCTGATGTGCAAGATTTTCTAATATTCTCTAATTTTTTCTTCTCTTTCTTACAGCTGAACCGTCTATCTATATCGTTGCCATTCGGATCGTTGCACCTTATCACTTATAGATTAACTTCTTGTATATAAACTATTATTGTTTGCTTGAGCAAGTTTTGCTCTATACAAATAAACATTTTTATAACTCTAATTATAAGACATAAAATTTTAAAATAAATATGATATTAAGACTATGTCAATTATACCATTAATTGGAATATAATCATATGAAATGTATATGCGTATGATTGTATATACTTAAACATATAAACATACATTTATACAAACATATAAACGAGGTCTGTTTAGGGGAATATTGCACCTTTTTCAGTTTCCTTTAATTTATATATTTTTGTATATAATTTCTGTTGCTTACTTTTTGAACAGACCTCGCATATGTTTATATGTCTATTGGTCATATGTAAACAAATAAATTTTGCCGGCTTGCACTGTTTGTTTGGTTACACCTTTCGTCATTTTGCAATGCGAAGTGCATTCGATAGGTAGTTGGGTAGGTGAGCTAGCAAGAGAGCAAAGACATCGAGTACACTAATTTATATAGAACGGATTATGGCGCAGACATTTGGCAATCCAGCGGGCAGCAGGCAAGGTGGCTTTGCTGCCATTTACAGTGCAGCCGGCTCCAGCTCCAGCGTTTCCGGCTTCAGTCGCTCGCAATTCACGTCCCTCTGCGATGCTATTGGTCAGAATATCACAGCGATCAACACCAGCAGCAAGCAGCTGGAGAAGCTGTGGAAACTGACTGGCAAGGCAAAAGATTTGCGTGCGGTGCAAGAGCAGATCCACAACATCAATAGCGAAGCCAATGAGCGGATAGAGAACACCAGTCGGGATGTGAAGCGGCTGCAGGTGATGTTACGTCACGGCGATCGCCAGCAGAAGTTGCAGCTGGAGCGGATCAAAAGTGACTTTCAGCATGTGCTGGAGAAATACTCCGCGCAGCAGAGGCGCAACTCGAAGGCTTCGCGACAGAGCTACAATGCGGCCGTTGCATCTCAGCGGAAGACTGCCAGCTCGGCCGAAACGGAGCTGCTGCAGCAGCAGCGACAGGAACAAGCGGAACTGGAGAGGGAGCACAACCTGCTCATCGAGCGCCAGCGGCAAGTGGAACAGCTGGAGGCGGACGTAGTCGATGTGAATATCATTATGAAAGAGCTGAGCAGATTGATAGGCGAGCAGGGCGACGTGGTGGGTGAGTAGAGTCTTATATTCGAAATCCGTAGATAAAATAATGCATTTGTTTATTATTATTATTATTATTATTATTATTATTATTATTATTATTATTATTATTATTATTATTATTATTATTATTATTATTATTATTATTATTATTATTATTATTATTATTATTATTAATATTATTATGAATATTATGATTATTATTATTATTATTATTATTATTTCATTAACACATTCACATTAATGTCTAATTCCAAAATAATTCCTTAATAAATTGTGTATAATTCCTGGGAAATACGAGTATCATATTGTATCAATGCAGTCCATTCATATATACATGATTATAGCATATAGTATATCTTATTCGTAGTATTCGTAAAGATAAACATTTTGCATTGCAGATAAAGTGGAAGAACTTGTCGATGAATCAGCCGTTAATGTGGAGGAGGGCCGTGTTGCGCTTGAAATAGCGGTAGTTAGGCGTAACGCCTCCCGTCGTCGAATATTCATACTACTATTTATTGCTTTGATAGTACTATCAATTATAGCTGGCATTATAGTCTGGAAGCGCATTTAATGCTTTGCTATACACACACACACACACACACACTTGTACCCTAAGAGTGTTCCTAATATATAAAGTTTATGCTATAATATATACTTATATATAAAAAAGTTAATTAATTCTTTGTAACAATTAAATAAATAAAATAAATATAAAAAAAAGATTACCTAAAGTTTATATGCACATACATAATATTAGCCCATTGGAAATTACGAATCAAGTTTAAACTTGATATATTTTTCATTTTTCTACAATATTATATATATTTAAATAAATCTCAGCTAGGAATTCTGTTATTGTTCTGAGATTTTAGGTCTGTCAAAAATGTTTTTAAAATTGCAAAAAGGATTAATGTGTCGCTAGACGGTGTTTGATTGATTTGTTGCTGGTGCTGCTGCTGTTGGTTGTCTCTCACCAGGCTTAAGGCTAGCAGTGGAATATAAAAGGACACCCACACAGCTGCGAAGTAGCGTTTGTCACACATCCAGACAAAGGATAATGTGCATTACAAAGGCGGAAATCAGACGAGCAAACAACCTTTATAAGTAGTATATTCATTTAAAACATATTTGACCCGCCGGGCTTATAAGTGTGTGTGTGTGTCGGTGTGTGTGCCTGCAGCAGCAGCAAACAAATGAAATGAAATGGAAAAAAGAGAAGAAAAAAAAAATAAATGTAAAGAATGGAAGAGAAAAAAAAAACTATTTGAATATCGACGTGTGGCCATTGTCCACTGTGGATTGGAATGTCCAGTCGGGCCTACCTGCAGCCGCCTCATTGTGTGCGAGGCGCGCATGTAAATTTGTCCAACTGGATGGCAAAGACAAACACTTGAAAACGCGCAAAGGACAAATGGACACGGCTTGCGGCCACCTGCGGCATTTATTATTATTATATATACATATATTTTATACATATATATAAACTTCTTTTTTTTTTTTTTTTTTATACAATCGTTTCTGTGTGTGAATTTTGATTTATGCAAACAAAAGACATTTATATGCAGATTTTTGTTGTATTTTATTTAAAATTTTTGAGGCAGCTTTTACTTTTCAGTGCATGCGAATGTTCCACTGGCTAAGTAAGCTGTCAGCTGTTGGCCATAATCAAGGCAGAAGAAGACCAAATTTGCTGCTTGGAGAGAATTGTAGTTGTAGAGTGTCTGTTGATATATACATATATATATATATATATATACATATATATAAAATGAATTATTTAGTTAACTTTTGTTGTCCAAGATTTATATAAAATATTTGGTATATGTTAATCTTCAAATTGTTTTCTGCTTAAAATTAATTATTTAATCCTGTCCCTGATTTAGGGCTCTTTCTTAAGTACAACTTTCTGGAACAGTCGTATATAAAGCAAAGAGTTGGCTAGTTAGAAAAGGGAACGGAAGGAAATGGAATGGAATTTAAGAGACTCGCATGTAATAGAAAAATTTAAAATAGAGAATGTAGAAAAGAGACTTACAAACATTACGACATATTGTTGAATGGAGTTGATTAATTTTATACAATATTCTATATATTAATATATATTTTAATATATAAATTGTGTTCAGTCTGCTTCTGTCTGATGGGAGAATTCTGACTCACTTATCTCATCCCCCTCTAGTCTTATTAACTTTTTATATATTTTATTTACATTATTAAGAACAGCTCAGCTGTGTTTTACTTATCACTTCTCACTTATCAGATACCTATGCACATTCATTTTTATGACTTTTTGGTTGAGCTGAAAATTTACGCTTATTCCATTTTAATATCCCCGAACATTGTACCTTTTTGTGAAAGGTATTTAAATGCTAAGCGTAGCCTTTATAACATTTTTTTAATACTTATATGTTTTATGTAGCGCAACGGCGTTGATATCAAATTGTATCTACAACTTCAATTTAATTATAAGCCACGCACACGGCTCATCAAATTTGCTGGCTGGAGCAACCGTTGCAGGTGCAAATGCAGAACAGTTCGGCGAGACAGTTCGAGACAGTCGAGGCAGTCGAGACAGTCGAGACAGACGCCAGCTAGTCGACGTCAGTCCTGGGCAGCGGCTCCCAGCACACACAGTTTCGGTTCCACATTATTATTATCCACGCTTTGGTCCGGCTCGGCTCGCTCTCATTCCCGTTCTCTTTGCCGTTCCCGTTGCCGTTCCCACTCCTGTTCTCACTTATTGAACCGGACGGTCGAGTCGAGCAATTCATTTGCAAAGCGTATCCAAAAATGTTGATGGGATTATTATATGTTGTTCTTGAATGTTCAACTGCAGGTGGAATCTCTATATGCCTTTATATCTCTCTCTCCTCCCTCCCTCTCTCTCTCTCTCTGTGCAGGTCTTTATCTTTTTAATGTCGTGGATTGCTTTGTGTTTTGCTTAAAGCATTAATTTATGTATTAAAAGTTAGAAATCCGTGTGGACAGGTGAATTTTGTTTTGTATTTTGTTTCTTCTCCTTACTTATATCTGGTTTAGTCTTGCTACAAATATATAATTTCGTACTGGCCAGTGAAATTGTTGATTATGTATGGAGATGATAATTTTAAGGACAGGTGAGGCAAGCTCAATGGAAATTACACCTGGGAATTCTTTGTTGCAAGAATGTGGGAAACATAATAAGAAAATATTCTTGGCATTAAAATTACATTTATAAAATTTTTGATAATTATAAGAATGGGAGATCTTGGTTAATTTATGTTTTGAAATGCAAGCGAAATATTTAGAGTTGAATAAACATGTTTGGTTCTCTGCAAGTGGTTAATAAAGTGGGTCAGATATTATCTTTCTGTATCAAGCGGTTCTTAATTAAGTTTATAGTTTTTTAGAACAGTAATGCTAGGCTTAATAAGATATTCTTGGAGCAATAAATAACTAAAGAAAAAAAAAATTGATACTCTTACTCTAAATACAGATATATATATATATTTTTTTTTTAAATGTATGAATATTAAAAAAATAAAAATTATAAAATCATATAAATAAAAATATGGAGTTTGTATAAAATATCATATATATTTTTTTAATTTTAAATATTAAAAAAAAAATGAAAATAATCATCTAAAAAATCATATTTTTGGTTAAGGTTAATAATAATATATAAAAATATTTCCATACTGACTACAACATATTTTGTATAAATATTGTTCCATTTTGATTGCTATTGACTCGAAGATGAGCCATTTTTCCGCTCCATACATAATTTGATTTATAAGCATAATCAAACTTTGGTCTAAGCCTTCCCCTTTTTCATCATTTCATACCAAGAGTCAGTTACACAATTCGACAGTTTTTATTTAGCTTTCAATCAGATAATTTTGATTTCGACTTGTTAAAATCAGGAAACTAGTTAGTCATGATAGATATGTTAAGGAGCGGAGATGCGTTGTCTACTTCCGCCGGCTGCACATATAAAACTAAAATCGGAAACAAAAAGTAAAAAAAATGAAAAAAATCTGCTGGAAAAAGCGCGCACCGGATGTAAATGGAGCCCAGCTGCATGCCAAAATGCAATTGTCATCAATACGACAACAACAACAGCACTGACAGCAGCAAGGACTACAAAGCCAATTCATAAAAACAAAGGCGACCGCCAACAACAAGAACAACCAAAGGCAAAAAGCGAATTTCAGTAACGGATGTAAATAAACCGCATGAGATCGATTACCTCCCCAGCGTGCGAGCAGCGGCAGGACGCGCTGGGCTTGCCTCTCACCTGCCGGCCGCCAGGATAACAGATGCGCACGGCGCACAGGTACGGCACACAGCATACAGCATTTTTATCTGGCATGCAAAATATCAGTTAACTGCATAAACAGTGCGACGCGAATGAGCAACAGAAAAACATTTAAGCACGCATTTAGTAGAATGTGTGGGATATCCAGTATGATTGACTATTGCAATACCCTGTAGTTTAGTTAAGTGTAGCAGGGATATTATGAGAACTGAAGAAGAAATTATTAAAAGGCGTATGGTTAATATAGTTTCAATAATAACATTCAGCTGTTTAAATATTAAATGCAATTTTCTATTTAATCACAAATTATTTACTGACTGTTAAGCATCTGAAAATATTAAAAAATTCTTTTTATATTAAAAAAAAAATATTGTATATTTAGAAAAATTATTAGATAACTCTAATATATAATACAAATTTATTTATTTTTGTTTATCACTAAATCATAGAAAAAATTGTTAAAAAATTTAGTATGTTATAAAATATAAACTATTAAATTTTATAAACATTTTTCAATATTATAAAATAATTATTTAATAATTTTGTTGTATTATACAAAATTAAAAAATAATTTTTCTATATTACAAAATAGTTATTAAAAAAATTTTTTTTTTTTTTTTAATATATGTATTTATATGTTTTTTTTACATATATTAAATACATTATAAAACGTGTTTTAAATATTTTTAATAAACTTATTAACTTATCATACTCCTTTCTAGTCTGTTTTCAACAGGTCATCAACAGCTGTGCCGCTGCCAAAAAAGCAAAAAAAAAAAAATCCCGCCTGTTGCTCGCAAAAAAAGTGCCAAGTTAAAATTTATTTAAGCCACAGACACTTATGCGTAAGACAAAAGCAAAAAAAAGCAGCAGCCGCCGGCGCAGAGGCCACTCGTTTAGTTCGACAACAACAACAACAAGAAAAGCTCATTAAGGTATTGCACCTGGTGCATCTTGAGCTGAAATTGAAACTGAAAACTGGTCCTGGATGCGTCCGCGTCTGCGTCTGCATCTGCATCTGCGCCTGCTTGGAAATGGAGCTCGGGGGCGATATTACGGACCATATTATAAGATAAAACGTCCGGACAAAGGCTGTTCATCAATAAATGTGTTGATATTATTACGGTAAACATGCTGATGCATTTTAAATTGAATTTAAGATCACTTCACTCTCTCTAATTGGGCTGCCTGATGCCTGATGACCCAGCGATTTGGCTTATTGAAAACTCATCAACATCGAATGGGTAAAAGTTTGCACAGCGTTTATTATAATATATAATGCGACTCACTTTATGTGACCCATTTCTTTCTTTTTTTTTCAGCTGGCCAAACAATTTAAAGGGCGCAATTCCCTGGAACAACAATAATAACAATAATAATAATAATAATACAAAAGTCAGCGCTCATCGTAAACGTATTAACTCGGAAAGGTGCCAGCCAAGGTGAGAATGCCGACAAAGAAGCCAAAGAATCCTCAACGAACGCCTACAGATGCACAATGCCTCAATAGAAAACAGTTGCATACAAAGTCAGGCACTGTAACACATTAATCATGTAGCTGGAATAACCCATATATATATGTGTGTACATATATACATATATATTTTCGTATATATATGCGACCATGGTCACAATTGTCTCCGAGGCTTTAATAAAGCAAGCGAATGCGAATGTTTTATGGCCTGCAGCTGAAAGTCAAATACGGCACATATATCCTTGCCTCTATCCAGCATCTGTAAACTGCTTGCGGTCAAGATTGGGAAACAATGGTCGCTCGGGCGTCCAGCGTTAAGGGTCGAGGCCAAAAGTCATTTGAGTTGCGTTAAAGAAAAATTACACGACGTTTTGTGGAGCAATTACCAGGTGTAAAAATGCTCAAGGGCGTGGACTAATTGTTCGACTCGGTTCAACTTGCCAAATGCCAGAGTACACATACCTCTCGCTCTCTCGTTCTCTACCTCCCTCTCTCTCTCTCTCTGTCGCTCTGCCACTCTGCATTGAGCTGGACATAGTTTCGCACTGGGTTCCTCGTAATCAAATGCAGCGACTCAGCCAACGTGCGCTGTAATTTTGTGCCTGCTTTGTTCGTCGCCGTTGCCCAATTGTTTGGGCGCTGCCTTTGTCGGAACTTTTATTGAAAAGCCTCGTCTATTGCTATTGAGCAGTTTTATTCCCAAATCCCTGGCCCTGGTCCTGGGCCTGCTCTGACTGCGGCTCTTGGCTATTGTCATTTGTGCGGCGCTACTGAAGCGTTATTAATGTTGGTCGATCTGGTCGCTGCATTGGCCAAAACCGAGGCTGCAACTACTGTGCCGCTTGATTTGTACGAATCGCAATAATTTGACAGCTGGAAATTCGTGGAAACTGAAGAGAGGGAGAGCGTGAGATATATTGTTGACCCGTCAGGTAAGCAAAGGCAATATTATTCTAATATTAAAAGAATTAAAGTATATATTAAAATTAATTTGAAATGTAATTCAAACTTAATACATATATTGATTTTAAAATTTTAAATATAAAATAAAACAAAAAATATAAATATATTAAAAAAAAAAAAAACTAAAATATTGCAATATATTTATATTAAGATATAAAATAAAACAAAAATATAAATTAAAAAAAAAAAAAAAAAAAAAAAAATAAAATAAAAAAATATACATTAATATAAAATATATTTATTAAAAATATATAATATATAAAATATAGAATGTAATGAATGAATATATGTATTGAAAATATAAAATGTAGAGCATAAAATATAAAATGAATATATGAAAAATAAATAAATATTAATTAAATTCAAACTATAAATTTATAATATGGAATATAATATATAATTGATTATACATAAATAGATGAAATTTCTTTGAACATTATAAATTATTATTATTATTTTTATTTACTATTATTTATTTTGCATATACTTATATATGTATTTGATTCCATTTTCAATAGTATTTAATATTTATAAATATTATAACATTGAGCTGAGTTCCTAAGAATAGTAGAGTATTAATTATATATATAAGTTAACACCATGCTAGAGCCCCGCCGACTAAGGCGGACTTTACTTATATTTATATAAGCAACAGGAGCATATATTTGCTATATTTTCTGGATTACTTGTTTGACTGATTGAACTAGCTCCCAAATTAGTTTCTATACATATATGAATACTTTTAAATTTCCCTGTCTCTTATATCAAATGTACATGTTCAGCTATATCGTATAAAGTTCTAAGATATATGGCAATATATTCTCTCTCTCAACGCACTTCTGTATGCCTGCATTTAATAGTTTTCTACAGAATATATCCACGTCTCGTACTCTCATCAAAAAGTCCGTCTCCGTCCTCCGTATCTTACTCTTTCTGACTCTACCTTTCTCATCTATTCACGTTGGCAACGATTTCAGGGCTTAGGCTTGTTTGCCTACATGCACTCAATTTACCTTTTTTTTTGGGCCTTTGACAATATGGACGAATCGTTCGTTTATAATCGGTTTTTGCTTCGCATAAACTTATCGGGAATCCATCTAAAATTTGCACATGTCAAAAAAGAGAGGGAGTGGAAGAGAGAGAGAGAGAGGGCGAGATAGACGAAGAGAGATTGCTTTATGCATTGCAAATGCAAAACACTTAACTGGGCCCAGACCACCGACTATTAGGGCAAACCGCTATCTATGGGCCATCTATCGGCAGTCAGGCAGCTGGGCGGCTCGGCTATGAGCCATTTCCGAGACTAAGTGTTGGGTTGTTCCTGTGCTGCTGCGAGCCACCACTTCCACTTCCTTGGCATTGTGGTTGGCCCAGCCATGTATTCGATATCGCTTTTTTCTACTACTTCTTCTTCTTCTTCTTCTTCTTGTTCAGTTTGTATTTATTTTGGCAAAGCGTCTCATATGACATAGCTGCTGTGCAGAGGAAGTAGGTGTAGATGTTGTGGTTGATTCAGGCTGCCTGCCATATAAATATATATGTATATATGTATATGTGTATGTGTGCATGTGGTATACCTGTCCTTTTGGGAGTGGGAGTTTAGGGATGCTGCTGCTGCGCTGCCTCGACTCCTGCTGCTGATGTAAGCTGATATGAGCGCGCAATTTTGGCATTAGTCTAAAATGCGGTCTGGCATTTAATTTCTATTTGAGCATTGCATTGAAATTTGAGAGCTTACCACAGGTGTGCAGCGCCCCTAACTGGGGGAATACGCGCTGGAACTGAACTGTGGGAGACTGGGACTTGGGACAAACATAGCTGCAGGTTTCTCCTTGCATTTGGCCACGCTATTCACTTATGTGTATTTAACGTTAGTCCATCGCTTTATATATGGATTTTATATTGCCTTTGAGAATTTCTGCTCAAATTGTGCGTGGCGCTCAGCAGTTGACATGTCAGGGCTGGGCTGAGCTGAGCTGGGCGGGGCAGTGCTGCCCTGTGACCTACCTGTGCGCCACTTGTGCTCTTGGCGCTCCTTAAAATGTCAAATGGCCGTGCCTTCCGTCCCCCTCCGCCTGCCAGCGGGAACGTCACATGTGCCGGCGCTTGCTGCTAATGGAAATTGTGTGGCAAGCAACTGACGCACGACGACGACGGCGACGGCGGCGACGGCGAAGACTTCCTGCCGTGTAACTGGAAATTTATGTTAAAAAGCTGTTACCTCCACTTGGGGGGTGGAAGGGAGACATATCTGTGGGTGGAGCACGTGGGTGTTATATATCAGACATTTTGGAGGCCTTTTGCCTTTTGGTTATTTGAGTGAAAAACAAATTTCTGTTATTCTACTCAAGCAACATGCAATTTTCACACAGTTTCCGTTTTGCGGCTAAGGGTATAATTACTATATGAACATGACTGTGACTTCAAAGGCTTATATCGATGTGGGCCATTAATAGTATATTACCAATGGGAATTGGTGCCATTAGAGTTTAATAAACCTTTTAGTATATTTTGATTGAGATTCATTTTGGCTTGCAAATATCTCTGCATGCCAATGGAAATTGGCTGTATGATTTAGGATGTTAGTTAAGCTGTTGAAAAAAAAAAAAAATAATAATAATAATAAAAATAAATTAAAATTGGGAATTTTTTCTTAATGTTTTTAACTTTTTCGTGTGGCATTAAATATTAAATAATTCATTTTTATAGATAGTGTCTCTGTGTTATATTATTAGCTCCAGGTTCGTACCTTGTTATTTTATACAGAAAAAGTATATACTATTATGAGAATATACAAAAATTGATTTATTTTTGCTGACTACATAAATAAATAAAATTTTGCAATAGATTATCATAACAGTATGTACTTTTTTTTAATAATTATAATAATTAAAATTAATACTAGCTACCAATATCACTGTCTTCTAGAGCTCTCAGCCTAATATTATAATTATTAATATAAATATAAATTATTATATTAAAAAAATTTTAATATTGGAAATGGTTCCCCAAATATCATATTAAAATTATATATTCTCTCTTGTTTATTCTTATTGTTTATTCTTAGCGCTTTCTGAGCTGTTTGCATATGGAAAAATTACATATATATATGTATATCTCATATTTAATTTCAATTTATTTGTTTCAAAATAAAAATGGAAAAAAATATGTATTGAGCTTCACACATTCATTCATTTTAAATAAACTAAAACAATATTCCAAAACTTGTATCCTTCTGTCCTCACAGTAATAACGGTATATAGAACATATATAATTTTTTTTTATAATTACTGCTCTTGATTTGTCATCCTTTTTAGTCTAAGGGCTCCTTTTATATATAACACAAATGCTCGTCATAATTAACTAACTAACAATTATTTAAAGTGCATCAACGTTTCGTTATGTTTCTTTTTTCCAACTTTTTTTTTAGCCTTGGCATATCCTAGTTGAGTTTGCTCTGTGTGGGTCCTTTTCAGCTTTGGCCTGCGGCACGTGGCATGTTTTCTGCTTCAAGTTCACACTTAACAAACAACTGTACTGAATGCTAAGGCTGCCCTTTGGCCTATGGGTTATGTATGGGTTGGCTGTTTGCGTTTTGTCTGTGGCTCTAGTCTCCATCGCATAATTTTTCACTTGTATCCTTTTGTGTATGTCTTCCTTGGTGCTGCACACATGCAAAGCTTTGGGGCTTTTTATAATTTTATGTGGCCTTTTTTCTCTCTACTTGGCGAGTGTGTGTGTCTGTGTGTGTGTGTGCGACTGTTGATAAATTTGCTTAGATTATTATCCTGGTGCGGTTTGCTTTCTGGTGTTATCTTTGGCTGTAATTAGTCTCGAGCTTGTTTGCGCCGCATTTACACAAAATGCTTTTTACGGCGCCACGCACGCACAGGATGAGAGCACAGAAAACGTCTGATAATATACAATGTAGCTGAGAATACATTTGTTCTTGTTGGACTTGGACGGCAGGCGATTGTCGGCAGTCGAGCATGTTGTGGTTGCTCAGCAAATTGGTTTGTTTGCTAGATCTAAACCTGGCCAAGACAGATCTGTAAATGCAAAACATTGAACTAGTTAACAAAACGTTAATGGTAAAAGTTTATGAAGACGATAAGAGATATGTTCTGAGTAATCTTAAATTTTAAATCCAACTAGATTATGTAAATGACAAAGGCGTTTCAGCAAATAGAGTTGTTATTATGGAAGTCCACCTACAAACATTTCCGCTCTTTCTTGAGAACTCTCTTGACAAAGACCCTGTCGATCACTGTGAAACCGAAATTCCATTCATACTTGCAAATATTTGCACTGTTGCCCTCGGGCATAACAACTAAATCTTCGCCTGGGCCTGGTAAACATGTTGCAACATGCGTTAAGACGCTTAGGTCCAGCTCGTTGTGGCTAAGCCGTGGGATTAAATTGGATCAAGGAGTTGCCGAAAATGTGCCCTAAAGGCGCACGATGAGATTTTCCTCCATGGGCTCAGGGCGTTTCTTCTGCTGCTCTGATCCTTTTTTGCTACTCCCACTAGGTGTGCACCGCATAATTTTGCACTCAATAGTAAATAGAAACCTCAACGCAGTTTTCTATTTTTTTTCGTTTCTTCCTTGCCTTGGCCAGGTCCATCAATCATTTCTTAGCCGCCCGTCAAGGCAACCCAGGCACATTAGCATTTATGAAGTTAGCTCGGTAAATTTTTATTTCTTTTTTATACAACAAATTTTTTTTTCTCTCTTATTCGGTCTTTGGGCAACAAAAGGCTCATTCAGCGTTCGCCTGGCTGGGTTGACTTTAATATGATTTTCATAATTTCATGCGCTTGTGCATATTTGGAGTCAATTAATGTCAAAGTAGTTTGGAAGCGCTGCAATCGATCAAATTATGAATGCAGTGCTGCTCTGGGGTAGAGAAGCTCGAATTTCTGCAGAGGCAGCAGCAGCAGCAGCAGCAATATATATATATGTATACCCTATGAATA